TACTGGCAAATGGGACTTGTCAACTTACTTCTCAGGGCACAGTGGCATTGCCCCTAAGATCTTTTCAAATTAAAGCTCTGAGTGGCGCGACAACTGTTATGGACAGGCGTGTCTCTTACTGTCGCTTTTCTCCATCTGTCATCACCATTCGCAATATGACCTACCCAATGCAAAGGAGCTAAAATTTTTGTTCCGTTATCAGATCTCCTATGTACTTGACTTTAGTTTGTCTTCAGATATCGGAATACGGAGCGCACGGTTTTCCATTATTTTCAAGATTCTTCTATCTTTTTATGCATCTTCTTGTTGTACATATTCTCTCTCTTCTCAGTATCAGTACAGCACCTTGTGAAAGAGTTTGCCCAGGGAAATACTGCCTTCTTACCTATTTCTGCCGCCAAGCAGTAATGTCACCATTACGTTGTATTAGGTGAAAGTACAGGCACGTGGGACTTGTCAACTTATGTATCAGAGTGGCGGGCGCAGTGGTAGTGTCTCTTTGCGATTTAAAGCTCTGAGGGACACTGCAATTGTTATGGACGTACCATCAGGCGCACGACTTTTTGTTGTGACTTGATGTTATAAAAAACGTATTTTTCCAAAATATTAAAAAAACTCGAAATGTTCCTTTGCATGTGAGAAATGTGTACGGATTTCGAAAAGCGGTTAATGTATTTACGTTCGGCAATAGTATTATAATTCGACGTGTGACCTTTCGTGGTTGCCCAATATCCGCGAGAAGTGATAATTTTAGTCGTATGTTTATATGGTAGAGCGGTCACGGAATCGCTGTACAGAACCACGCGGCGAGCGTTGAACTTTATTAATACATTTTAAGCAAACAGTGGGACCGAAAATACACGTCAACCAACCAACTTGGATATGTACAACTTTAAGTTAAAATTCTTACTCATACTCAGTTTTGTCCACAATCAAATGAAGGTGCTTAAGGTTATGCGTGCACGAGCTGATGTTGACGGTTTTTGGCAGGTTTATACAGATTTAAAGCTGTGCCATGAAAAGACTCAAAGTAATGTATATTAATGCTTCTGCATGATAATTAGCCGTAAAGACGTCAACGTACTTAACAGGCTACAATTTGCGTGGCATCACATTACCCAGTCAGGGAAATGAGACATTTGAGTATACTCCATAATGATAAGCGTAAAGCAAATTCGGCGAAGATCACGCACACGTGTGCTGAGTCACCAGTTTCCTGATAAAAGTTCAGAATTGTTGTCACACACACGCATTGACCGGTTTCTGAATGGACAACGACCTTTTTGCTACCGTTAAAGTTAAAATACATACATACTTGATTGAGACCCTTTAGTAATAGGCACATTATCAGATCTATTTGATATGTTTTGTTCAAACGTCGTCACAGTTGACATGATCAAGCATCATTTCGACACATCACGCCACAGGCGACATACTCTGATACCCTTTTGTGTATTGTTTATTTTTGTTCTTTTCATTTGTTTCGTTTTCTGTCTCTTTCTTACCGATGCTTTGTACAACTGCCTGGTTTTATAATCTCTATGTTCTTTTCTAAATACGGTAATAAATAGGTTAATGGCATTTGAATGCTCACCGCACTTGTATAACTAGGCTCTAGTAATTATAACATTAATTTCCTAAAATGGAAAAAAATCTCTCCTACTGGAAAGTGAAGATGTGGAGGAAGCTTGTACACTTTCGCCTGGTAGGTGAATGTTTACTCTGATCTTAAACACATACTTTCATTAGTATTAATAACAAGCCGGCCAAAAATTACACTCCTTCGGTTTTTGCATAATGAAGTTGTAAACATAATCCTTTGAAACAATAACTTTATTTGAATGCGGTTTAAAGGAAATACTTTTATCATCAACCGCTGACGGGCACTTGGCTCTAAAGAAACGGTTGCTTTTAGTCCTATACCCTGGCCGAATGTGGATTTGGGATTTCATGCGTTTTCCAGAGGCATTTGCACTGGAAACACAAGCACTGGAAATACGACCCTAATGGAAGGGACTTGAGTATGATTCGAGTGCTTTAAACCATACTCAAGTCCTGACTTGAGCATTGAGTAGAGTTCTAGAATACGACCCTTAGATTGTATACGTAACTTAGAAATTAAACCCCCGCAAGTATTCGAATCGTCGACCTCGCAATTTCGAATGACTCATTCATGGAATGGAAAGACGATCTCCACTCGAGTTGTACATGTAAAACAACTTGTCGCTGGTATCATAAACAACAACTTTTGTTCCATGACTTTTTATATTTCATTCGATTTTAATTTCGTACAAAAATAAAAATAATAAAAATTGATCGCTCTGAACTGAACACGGTACAAACGGTTTACTTCGAAAAAGACAAACTTCTTTGTATGTAGATAAATTTATTAGATCCAATAAAACGAACCTCTCCCTATAGACGCTAGAGAATAATTACTTGATAACATTAAAAAAACGTCTCAAAAATCTATTTTTGTTATAAGACAGAAATACGTAATCTAAGTGCAAATTAATTTATACTTAAGACATCATCTACCCTAGATTCAAGAAAATATTTTGTTATTTATTAGGAATTTCGGATTTTTGAGTTGAAAAAAAAAAAAGAATGTAAAATTCAGAAGTAATTATTTGATTGTAGGCATTGACTTACAAATAAATGGACGACGGGTCTAATACAAAAACCACGAAAAAAATGTCCCAAGTCAACCTATTCGAAATTTAAATTGTTATGTCATCGCAGTTTCGCGCTGTCCGTAGAACAAATGAAGACTAAAGCGGAGTTTGGCGCTCTGTATACGATTTTAGCGCCTTACAAGTGCGGACACTTTTTAGCGCGGACCCGACGTCCATATAATTGTAAGTCAATGATTGTAGGTTATTTTTTTCTATATTTAAGTGTAGTATGATTTCATGCTGAAATATCATCGTCATCACCATGATCAGCCTATCGTAGTCCACTGTTGGACATAGACCTCCACCTCCTTGTCGTTTCGATTTCCCGCCAGCAACCTTTCGCAGGTCGTCACTCCACGTGGCTGGAGGACGTCCTACACACGTTTGCCGAGTCGCGGTCTCCACTCTAGAACTCGTTTTCACCATATCGGTTCTTCGACAGATATGGCCAGCCTACTGCCACTTCAGCTTGCTTATTGCAGTAGCTATGTCGGTGAGCTTGGTTCTCTGTCGCATAATGAGATTACGAATTTTATCCTTCAGAGAAACTCCGAGCATAGCCCGTTCCATAGCTCGCCGAGCGACTTTAAATTGATGAATGCTGAAATCGAATTTCTTAAATTACGGCCCTTGGTTTTATTTCGTCAAATAAACTTTTGCCTAATATATGCCGTAACAAAAGAAAGCGCTAGCGTAAATACCAGTCCAATGCAGATCTAAAAAGTGTCACGTAGTGCAAAAACTTAAAAATGTATCTTTGGTAAATTTCTTACGTTTCGTAAATAGTAATGGAACGAAAGGTGTTGTTTATGATGTTTCTTGTGCGAGAGTTAGTTTTATACAAATAAGCCTGTATACTACAAAAAATCGAATGCATTTTTGAATAACTGGTTTGCGTGTCAGAGGCCATCTCAACGTGTTTTTTGCTCATTACCATTCGGCTATTGTAAACTCAATTAAATTTGTACTACAATGGAAAGGTCGTTTTGCAAAACGCCGCCATTTCAACATTCCTGCTTGGTCTTCATATTGTAGGGGACAAGTGTAATTGCTTTGATTTAGATTTCAGTTATTGCCGCCAAGTTTTACTCAGAAGTTTTATTGCTACCTTGGTAGTAGACTATAATTAAAAAACAACACGCTATCACCTACCAAATACCAACTGACCGAACGGTGATAAATTGGCTTAATGTCATTCGTCTATGACAAGCCCGAAAACCTATTGCGTCCTACATTATAATTATTTTTTTACCTAAATATACAACACACACGCAGAAACAAACACTTTTTTTACCTATGAATTTATTTCGTTTTGTAAATTTTCTTACCCGTAACTAATAAACCTTAGTGTGTGTGTAGACCACAATAAAAGTAAATAGTTGATCAAAATCAGATAATACGTACTTTAGTCAATTTTTATCTTTAATGTACATTCTGTGCCTACCTAATTGACGTAAAATTGTATAACCGGCGGAAAGGGGTCCTGGCGAGCTGTAACACAGGCATTTTTATGCTTATCTCAGGCGCCATTCTCTCACAAATAACGATCAGTATTAACCTCACTCGTCAGTTGGTATATTATTACATACTTTTTTAGTTGTATTAGCATTTTCATAAAACACTAATTAATTCATCTAATTTTATTGATAATAAGATCGAACAAACACAAAGAAAAATTCCTTCGACCCGGCTGCACTGGAACCAGCGACTTTTCGCCAAACCGGGGTTATCGCTCTCCCAACGTAAAGAAGAGTTAGCAGACGAATTTTCCTATGTGCCCGTTGCAAATCTTTGATTATGGTTTTACGGCTTCGCGTCATTTTGTCCGAGACGAGTATATCTAAAATGGACGAGTTATACACTCTGCTTTTCACTTCGATTGCGAGGAAATTAAACAGCAATATTACAAATAAACGATTACTGAATAAAAATTGTATGTAAAATTAGAACAATTAGACATATTTAATGTGATGGATTTTTTATTTCATGCACTAGAGCATAAAATCCTATTTTATGCAGCCATACACCCAGCATAAACTTTAAGAGCATGAGAGGTGAAAATATAATTATTTACACGCATGGAGTGCGACGTGTTACGCAACGCTATTATTTGCTCACAAAATATTGTTCATGGTTTCCGTACACTATACTGAGTCGGAATTAGGTAGCATTGACCGGTGTAGCATCCAATTTGTTGTATATTTATCTTTCGAGCTCTTTCTCTGGGACTTTACGACTGTTTTTCTTCCACTACCATTAATTTTTTTGTGATTCGTTTAATCTGGCCTGTAGCGATTGCTTATATTAATAATTAAATTTTTTCAGGTCACTGCTGTTCGACCAGCAGAAGCTGGCAGAGATAGACGGGCACAACGAATGGCGGCGGCTCGAGGCGGCCAACGTGAGCGATCTTATTCAGAGGCGGCTCAAGTATCTGCAGAACCCTTCAGACTGCCGTGAAGCACGTAAGGTCATCTGCAACCTCAACAAGGTCTGTACTGTACCATAAGTTTTTCAAAATATTTCCAAATCAGTGTTGGCTTTCAAGTGGAATAAGCAGTTGCACTGCTATGAGAGTGGCTAAAGCAACCAAGTGTTATGAGGTCAATATCTCAATGACGGTAACTTCTTTCCGTCGGATAGATCGAATGAATGAATGGATGGATGTTTGCCGCTTTTGAAGTCCATAGAAATAGTAAATTGTTTTATTAATGCGGAATGTGGGTTTTGTATTGCAAAGAAGATGATCATTTAAACCAGCTGGAGGCGCAGTTATGAATAAACAGTTCATTTTACTAAGTTCTCCACGTAATTTTCCTAAGTTGCTGTATGTTGGCTCTAGATTTCCGTAGCTGCAAATTACCTTTTGCAACTTGCACTTCACTCCAAATTTCAGCATTCAGCAATACGTTACAGCCATTAAGCTTTATGATATTTTTCTATCATTTCAAAGCTGTCGCTGTTAAATAATTACGAAATATGACCCTGAGCCGCTTTTTCCTACGAAACATTTGAGTTCTCCACTTCATCCGTATCTCTTTTACATATCACACATTCGCACGAAGCGACTTGGTTCCTCTCTCAATTGAATACACTGCCGGTGTTAGTGTTTTCCTAAAAATACAATTTGGGGCTATTATAGACTAGAGGGAATATGCATGTTTTTAGATCATCGTATATCGTACACAAATTTGTTAGGCCCCGGTTAGCAAATTTAGCGCTGTAAACTCGCCTCGGAACCGTAGTACAGTAGAAAAACCAAGGTCACAATTTTTGTGAACATTATTAGTAGACAAATTCTTACTTGTTTTAATAAAAATTAAAAAAAATGATTTTTTTGTTTGCGTCCTGTCACCCATGTTATTGACCATTCATCACTCTAATGTTTGTTTAGTCTGTGCTCTAATCAATTTCGGTAGTTGTGGTAAAGCAGTGATGATTTACTTTGGAGAGTACTTGGTATATTAGAGATTCTACAGAAAAAAGGCGATCATGCGTTCTGTCGCTTATTAATTAGAAAGACGCAAAGAAGGCGTTTCGTAAGAGATATCAAACAGGAAGCACTTATATGCTACATTCCAGTATTGAGGTCTTTCCAAGTTTAGATTATATATTAATAATGTATTTATTAAACTAAAATGCTAAGTACATAATAAAACGTTTTACATTATGTTTGGAATCTTAAATAATCTTCTATGTCGTAGACAAGCAAATTATATTTGAAATCGTCACAATGATTAAACTCTACTACTCTTTCGTAAAGGCTAGTTTAACCCTAATTGAAGTGACCAAGCAATTAACTAAGTTTTAACTAAATTTTAACTTAATGTATCCGTGTTAGAAAACAATTACCTTGCTTAGTTAATTATTTCGTTATTTAATAGGTGTAAACAAACCATAAAGTAGATTCCCCTGCGAAGAATAAATTGGAAACTTGAAAAGAAGAGGGAATTCTCTTTGTAAAAAAACTTTTTAGAATATTTGTTCGAAATATCATAGATTGAGACTACCTGCAAGAGCCAAAGCATGGAATTTTGTTGTCCAAGTAAGCAGAAGCTGTAAAAACTTTTTGTTTCACTATATTTTATAAGAGACTGGCCTTGTACAGTCAAGAGCACGTCAAGCTTGACACTTTGTACGTTGGACCGTTCTTATCGTAAGCGGCATAGAGTTGGATTTAAGCCTCAACTGTCAAGCTTGACGTGCTCTTGACCCTGTACTGCACAGACTGTTAACATCTCTTTGATGTGCATTCATAATGAACGGAAATATTGTGCAGAAACTGGCTCGGTGTAATGTCTTCGAAGGCATGTGTGTTCCCAACCCACACTGGGTCAGTGTCGTATCTGCATTTGATATGTATTCGGATGAAGGTTACGGAAATTCAGATACGGTATCTCGAAACTAGCGCGGCATAAATAGTAACGTGTTTTGGGGTATGTTGATGGCAGCATGTCGAGTAAGATGAATGACAGTGATAAAAATAACTTCTAAAACTAGATTTAGTCCACACGGAGCATCTGTTCTCCATTCGTCATGATTTTCTCGAAACAGCTGTATGAGTTGTAAGAATTGTAAACAAATGAATTTCGAAAGACAAAAAGAAATAATTAACCTATTTAGAGCCGATAAAATAGTTTCATCAGTTCGCTTCTAAAAACAAGAATGTTTTAAAAGTACGGTATAAATCTCACAACTAGAATGACGGTCGTAACCGTACTAATAATAATGTATAATCCGTAATCACTCCTCATAGGTCCGTAAAAAATGAAATTTTTTCCTATACAGGTAAGCAAGTATAATCTTTCTTTCATCGGTCATCTAAAGTGTAACCTTTATTCTATAGGTCAGCAAAAGTGCAACTTTTTTTTCATTGGTAATCTAATCATAGGTCAATGAAAGTATAATTTTTTTTCATAGGTTAGGTTTTTGCTGACATGTGAAAGGAAGAAGTTTTAATTTTAGGTGATTGACCCGCTGAGTAACGTACAATGTGGTTATACAAAATTGTGCATTTGAGGTCATTAAGTGATGCAACTCGATCGTACCATAATGTTTATCAGACGCAATGGAGCATTTATTGTGATTGCGACAAACTGCATTGATTGTATTTGACAATGTATTCTTCATTTTATCGGCTATGTACACTCGTCGACACACAATTCGAGCCACCTTGCATTTTTATACTTAAAGAGTCGTACGATCTCAAATGGCTTTGGCTGATTCTGCAAACAGTGAAGGTTTTGACTCGTGCAATTACTCGAACTTCTCGACCGGCAAAGGCTTCAAACGTTATTCAGAACACAGTTATCGAATGAAACTTACCGAACTAATCCGAATAGGAACTCTAACATTATAAATCCCGGTCCCGGAACGCTCCCGTTACCGCCTCTGTGTGGCCAGAGCGTTAGTTTTTCGTATGTTAGTTGACTACCAGTGCTTAGGATATCCGGTCTGAATTATCCATGATGTTTGTCCCACGCAGGGCTGCGGCTTCGGCTGCCAATTGCACCACATCGCGTACTGTCTGATCTTCGCGTACGCGACGGAGCGCACGCTCATCCTGCAGTCGCGCGGCTGGCGGTACAACACGAAGGGATGGGACTACGTGTTCTATCCACTCTCGGATTCCTGCACCAGTGCTTACGAAGATAAGGCGCTTCAGTGGCCAGGTATTTTTTTGTTTCACTGTCTCGGTAACTAAAGTTACCGATTTTTGTAGTTAGTACTGGGGTCGCTGGATAAAGAGGTCTCGTGTTCTATTCCCGATAATACCAATATATGTTCCCATTTAAAATGGTTCTGGTTTGGGTGTTCCGGAGTTAATACAGTAGAATGAATTATGAATGTATGTTTGTAATGTATGCTCCCAGCTGACTTCTGCTAAAGGACACACACATCAGGGCAGTGCCCGGGACGTGGACGGACTGTGTAGTTTGTACGAACTCAGGGCCCGTCCCGGTGCCGGCCCGGACACGGACATGTGTGAGCGAGTTCATGCAAAATATACGCAGCGATGTTTTGAGCCTCTGTCGGAGCACGGTCCGTCCGCGTCTCGGGCACGGCCCTGATGTGTGTGGTTAGTCCTTTAGGCGAACATTTTAGCTCCCATGTAGGCGTCGTTGTTGCGGCGGCGCCAATGTTCTGGGCGAAGATCCTCGCGCTCTGCAGGACACCATTTTCAAAATTATAACTGATTACCGCAGATGGTCCGGTTTTCAGTTCGTTACACTCGTAATAATCATAATAAATATCAGACAACATGTCATACGTTCGTTGCTTTGATCCCAAAGTAAGTAACTAAAACACTTGTGTTATGGAAATCTGGAACAACGACGGTACCATAAACACCCACACCCGAGACATTATAGAAAAGTTATTTTCTAAATTGATCCGCCCGGGAATCGAACTCGTGACCTCAGAGATGGCGACATCATGAAAGCCGGTGTAGAAGCCACACGACCACGGAGGTCATCATAACTATAACACAGGGAATTCCCTAGTATGACACCAGATAATTCGTGTGGTGATCTCGATGGATTTCAAGATTAAAATGGTCTCGACATGGCCCTGCTGTTTTAACTATAAAGTAACATAACAAAAAACAAAAAATAAAAAGAACAATAACCTCCAAAAAGTTTATACATCGTAATGGCTTTTGTGCGGTAGATATATAGGAGAGCTTCTAGGTGTAGTTATACATCGAAGAACTCGTAATGGCAATTTCAAATAAGTAATGTTGATTATTTTAATTGTCGCCTAAATATCCTTTCGCAATTAAAATTTATTATATTTCTGAAAATACTTTCTATTCTAGTAGATACTAAAATATTTCATCACTTATCACAACAAGTCGAGCACCTGGTGGTAAGCGACACGCCTGTCCATAACAGTTGCACTGTCACTAAGAGCTTTAAATCGCAAAGATCTAAGGGGCACTCCCACTGCGCCCGTCACCTTGAGACATAAGTTGACAAGTCCCATTTGTACCTATAATTTCATCACCACATTTACCCTTCAAAACCGGAACGCGTTAATGCCCACATTTGGCTGCGATTCCACCAAAGATGATGGTGCGAGGTAGCTAGGATGTTTAGCGGCCCTGTGAAACGGTGTGATTGATGGTTTCCACCAAAGCTGTGCGAGGTGGCTGAGCGATGCGAGGATGAGTAGCGGAGTCTTTTCAGCTTGCGCGTGTGGTGAGGCGACACACTTTCCTCGCTTGCATCCCTCGCACAAATTCCTCGCTTTTTTGTATGTACAAATACTTAACTACGCTAGCCCTCTTCCTCCAGAGCAGCGCTATGCGAGGCTAGGAAAATACGGTAATCCTATTGGTGGGATTTTTCCACATCTCTAGTGCAATCGCAGCCTCTTGGCGGCAGAAATAGGTGAGGTGGCATTACTTCCTGTTTTGGAGTTTTTCTGCTGGTAATACTATATTTGCTTATTACTTAGCACGAACGCGTGTTGGTAAACGCCAGGATTGTAATTTGCATTTTTGTGTAATTCCGGAGGCCCGGGAGCGTTCAGGCGTATACTAGAGAAGACGCAGGAAAAGATAGTGATACCCGGCTACATACCTGAGTTCGGACGATTGGAGGACGATGTTGAAAGTACATAATAAACATTAAATTCATTATCTGTGGCCTTGTGTGAGTCAATCTGTGCATAGTATCTATTGGTACAATCTTTGGGTCATATTAATTTTTCTCTGGTTATGTGTACGTATATGATATCGAATTGTACTAGACGAATTATTTTCCTTTGAACTTACTTTTGAATTAGTTAGTTGTTAGGAATTATATTTACCTAAACTTCAAGGAACATGCAGAGTGGACATTATCTCCCTTTGAAATCCCGCAATGTTTAAATATAAAAGCGATAAATCAAAACAAGAAAGTTATATTATTACTTGCAATTTAAATAAAAATTTGTATGACCTACATTTATTTCTCTCGCGAGTTTGGGTGTAATTTGTATTCTATAAAGTTGTCTATGTCCAGGGGTTTAAATAAAAACTAAAAAAAAATTGCTGGTTACATATGAAAAATATACAATATAAGATAATACAATAATTTCAGGTTAAGGAGGTATCCCCTCTGCATGTATTACTTCCTTGAAGTTAGGTATCTCCGCTCTTCCGTAATCTTTATGAACAAAGCCTTTTATGGCCGCAAAAAAATGTTGTAGCAAATTATCCTTACGTTAATCACACAAGGGTGATGTTAGTGATACCATTGTTGATTTTGATTATATTAAGCATTGACTTACAATTATATGGACGTCGGGTCCGCGCTAAAAAGTGTCCGCACTTGTAAGGCGCTAAAATCGTATACAGAGCGCGACACTCCGCTTTAGTCTTCATTTGTTCTACTGACAGCGCGATACTGCGATGACATTACAATTTAAATTTCGAATAGGTTGACTTGGGACATTTTTTTCGTGGTTTTTGTATTAGACCCGTCGTCCATTTATTTGTAAGTCAATGATATTAAGGTGTTGTTTTGCATTACAGCGTCTTACGACGCGAAGGTGATCTCGCTGCCTTTCATCGATTCGATGTCGCAGAAGCCCAAGTTCCTACCGCTTGCTATCCCAAAGGACCTCGCACATAGGTAACTGGATTGTTCCCCTCTGTACATAGGGCACAATTGATATACAAGTTGCTACTTTTTAAATTAAAATATTAAATGAGTTTATTATGTACAATTTGCCATACAAAATTGTTGAATGTGGGTGTGTTAAAGATGTACAGTACAGTATAACTATTTTCTTCATACCCTTCGATTTTTGTTATTAGGTTTAATTATTATTACCTATTTTCTATGACTGAGTCATTTATTTGATTTTCCAATTGATTTGTTTATGTACATTGCCCGGTCAGGATTCTGCGGTTCAACGGCGACCCGGCGTCGTGGTGGGTGGGGCAGATGATTAAATTCGTGCTGCGCCCGCGCACCGCCATGCAGAAGGCCATCAACGAAACCATCGCCAGGATGAGCTTTAAGACGCCTATCGTCGGGTACTCTATTCTTCTTTACTTGTTCGTACAAATGACGTTCTCGTCTTCGCTCCTTCATTGAGAATATTAAGATGCGCAACAAGCACATACAGAAATTCGTAAGATCTGCTGGCTCGACTCGTAGTTCTGTTGGCAGACCGGTAGCCACGTTGAGGCAACAGTCGCTAGTTCGAGTCGAGTTGTTTGAGGAGGAATGTTTGTTTGACCTTGTTGTTTGGACGGTGTTCAATAAAAAAAGTTATTACGTGTGATGAATTACATGGCGGCAGCAAAATGATTAAATTTCAATAATCTATGTCAATTACAACACAGTACAAGAAGTTTTACGAGTTGTATAATAACACTTTGCAGATTGTAACAAAGTTACGGCTTTGTTTACTTTCTAGCAAAATTAATAAAGTATATCGATAAAGCTTGTACTCCCGTTGATAATGTTTTAAATTGAACCTTTTACCTTGTACGTAGTATCCAATTTGCATAATCGATAAGTAATATTGTTGTATAATTGAAGGGTCCGTGTGTAGTTTTAACCAATTGTGAATTTAGAATTCATAGAATCAAATGTGGACTTTGAAGCATGCTTCACCAAAGTTCAACTCGCATTATCTGATTTTGTTATTTGATATTCAGCAATGGTGGACGGTTGTACGATAGCTATGCGTTCGGTTTATGACATTTTTATGGCGTTTTTATCAGACGGTTTTTTGTATCCAACTAATCAAATGATTGTTATTTGATCGTTCTCAATTGTTCATTGCGTGCCATTTGTTATTGTTTTAGTAATATTGGTTTTGATGTGAAAATTTCTGGGATGTAATAACGCATTGTTTTCTATTATTTCTCCATTGAATTAAAGACAGAAGACGTGGCCAAAAGACGGTGCTATAAATTAGGTTGTTTTCTACGTGAAAACAATTGATTTGTATGCCAATTTGTTAGAGTGAGGGCTATCTTATTATTGGTATCACCGATAATCTTCTACCTGCTTTATTTAACTGTAGCATTTCGAACTATGTTTTAGGTAAATAAATGTCATTCATTCATTCATTCATTTGTAGTGTGAGTAAAAGCAGGTTACTTCTTGTCGCATAACGGTTGTTTTTATGTTTCATATTGTGTGATCTTCAACTGGGTCAAGCCGGACACGTTGTAAGTTACAGTTTTTGCAGTGTTGGGTTTGTTCCCTTGTATAACATTAGTAATGCCAAAAGGGATCCAGGGGGCTAAGCACATCCGTCACCTATGTCGTCATCATCCGATTGCCTAGACGATCCCCTGCCGGTGCGGGTCGGGAGTTCGCAGTGCAAATGCGAACGTGAGTGCTCGGCCGCCCGCACGAGCTGACTGTCGCCGGTCCGCAGGGTGCACGTGCGGCGCACGGACAAGGTGGGCACGGAGGCGGCCTTCCACCACATCCACGAGTACATGGCGCACGTGGCGCAGTTCTTCGACACGCTGGAGCTGGACGGGCCCGTGGCCGCGCGCCGCGTGTACCTGGCCTCGGACGACGCCAACGTACGTGCCGCCCCCGCCCCGCCCCCGCCCCGCCGGCGCCCGCCGCAGCGCCTCTGACCGCCCCCTCGGCAGGTGCTGGAGGACGCGCGCCGCAAGTACCCGCAGTACGCGTTCGAGGGCGACGCCGGCATCGCCAAGCTGGCGGCCACGCACCGCCGCTACACGCCGCAGTCGCTGACCGGCCTGCTCGTGGACCTGCACCTGCTGGCCGCCTGCGACTTCCTGGTCGCCACCTTCAGCAGCCAGGTACTCTCGGGTCCGCGTCGACTCGTCTCCTGCGCCGGCCGTCCGTTGCAAGCGACGAAGGCAGGAAAGGCATTCTCGGGAAACTCGCACCAGTTGTACATATTAAACTTGCTTGTTTTTATGTTTTTACACGGTAATTTGGACGAAGCGAAAGTGTTCAAATTCAACAATTAACTAATCAACTGCAACAATCTCACTTCCCGTGTCCCCTCTCCTACAATTTTTCCCTCTAAGGACGGCGCCTATCGTTACTAATTAGCGCTTTGTTACTTGGTGTTCCGCGATTTCGTGGGTCAATGCGCCCAACTGCACGCGCCTTGAATACTAACATTACTTAAACATGCTCTGAAATATTTAAATTGCTTCCAAAAAATAACTTTTTCGTTCTCATTTCTGGAACGTGCAATTTTTTGTTGACCTACGCCTTTAGGCTAAGTTTCTGCCCCCTGCCGCTGCTCTAAACTTTTCAATATACCCTATTAACAAAGAGCCATGCAAAGAAACTAAAGAAACTCTTCGCGGAAATAAGTTCTAGAGAGTGTCAGTGTACTCCGCCTAATTTAAAATAACAAGCAACATTTGTCATACAAAATGTACATTACATTTCTTATTAATATTCTCTTAAATAAAAAAGTTAGAACTTAAGTCTTTTATTATTTCATTGTTTGAGAACAGCATTCCTTTTTGCAGTGTTTTTTTTATTGGGACGGTATGCGGCAATCTGAAATTATAGGAGATGAAGTTTTTTTTTGTGAAAACTATTTTTTGATCATGCGTGAGTTGTTTGTAAATATTTATAAAATAAGTGATTTTTTTGTGCTAATCGGCTCATGTAAGGATTATTGCATTGTATGGGACGAAAAAATCCGGAAAGCGGAAGTTGGTCAAATTAAATAAAATGTTTTTTTTTTCCATTCAAAATTTATAAAATTCAGAATTTTTTTTAGATACACTTAGTTTCCTTTTATATGAAAAAACATTTTATGAAATTTGATCAACTTCTGCTGTCCCAATTTTTCCGTCTCATACAATGAAATGATTTTTACAAGAAACTGAGTTCATCAACATATTCTTTTCACGGACAACTCACGCTTAACCAAACAATTTACTATGTGAAAATTTGCTCTCACGAAAAAGATAGTAGTTAATTGTTTCTAAGAAGTTTCCTTGTAGATACAGTATGGGGAAACCCGAAACCATAGAAGGTTCTATCCTCAAATCTATTATATTATCGGATTTCCCCATACTGTCACAATAAAAAAGCACATTGTATACCACGGCGGGAACGGGGATTGCCTGATTCGTACCTTACAAGGCTTCGGGCGATCCTTCGCTTCCCGCCCTGGACGAGCTTCGCCTTAAGACGTCCGTCCCGGAAGGTGGGGCGTGTGGCGTACGAGCTGATGCAGGCGAACCGCGTGGACGCGTCGGAGTCTTTCTTCTCGCTGGACGACATCTACTACTTCGGCGGGCAGAACGCGCACGACCGCGTCGCCGTGCTGCCGCACGACGCCTCGGGCGCGCAGGACATCTCCTTCAAGGTAGCGCGTGGCAATGGCGCGTCGCCCTCGTTGAGTTCGCTCGGTAACACTGGCGTGCTTCGCAGGTGGGCGACATGATCGGCATCGCCGGCAACCACTGGAACGGCTACGGCCGCGGCACCAACAGGCGAACGAATGCGGTGAGTTGGCTGCCATTTACGCGACGAACGTAACAACGACACGGTTACGTTCCATTTAGAAATCTGCGAGTCTCCAACGAGCTATTAAAATTGTGCGAATCTCGATTTTCATACAGAACATAAAAATTCGATATTTTTACAACTTTAAGACTGCGGCTGGAGAACTTAAAAAACCAACTAGATTTTATGTAAACTAAAATTTAATGGAAATTGTTCCTGAGCTGCGAGTGTTTGCGTTCCGTGTTCGAATAACAATGTCGTCTTAAAATTAAATTAAATCTTTAAACGTTTTTGTAAATCGCTCAATCCTTGCCTGGTTGCTACGCGTGTAAAAGTTGGTGTTGCCACACCAAACGATGTACACAGGGCCTGTCTATGTGACATGCGCGTTTCACGGATTGGCCAGAAGCTGGTAGCCCATCCCACCGGTAGCCGTGCCTACTGGAGCCTGGCCAAAGCCGTGCAGTCCAATTTTTGTCGTTCGTCGCTGCCGCCTTTGAGGTGTCCCAATGGATTTTTGGCCTATGGCCCCGAAGAGAAAGCCAATTTATTGGCCGACCTTTTTGGGGCTAACTCGCGCATTCACGACCAAGATGCGCAACCGCCGTCAATTCCCCACTGCGGAGTCACAATGCCTGATATAGTTATCAGGCAATGTGATGTCCGCAAGGAACTGCAGAGTCTTGACGTGCGGAAGGCCTATGGTCCAGATGGGATACCTCCTATCGTCCTTAAAAGATGTGCGGCGGAGTTGTCTCCCGTACTGACGCGCTTATACCGCCTCTCATACCAATCTGGTAACGTGCCCCTAGCTTGGAGGGAGGCCAACGTGCAACCTATCTCCAAGAAAGGAGATCGGTCTAATCCGACAAACTATCGCCCAATAGCTGTCACTTCAGTGCTCTGCAAAGTGATGGAGCGGATTCTAAATATCCAGATAATCCGGCACCTGGAACGTCACTCCATTCTTAATGATCAACAGTACGGGTTTCGGCCGAACCGATCAACGGGTGACGTTCTAGCGTATCTAATGCATCTCTGGGGTGAAGCTATCGACAAACAGGGCGAAACCTTAGCGATAAGTCTGGATATTGCTAAGGCCTTTGATCGGGTCTGGCACCGTGGTCTCCTCTCCAAGCTTCCGGCATATGGTCTTCCCGGCCGCCTTTGTGAGTGGATCTCCGGCTTTCTGCGCGAGCGAAGATTGCGTGTCCTTGTTGACGGAGGCACTTCGCGGCTCGTGACAGTTAATGCTGGGGTGCCACAGGGCTCCGTGCTGTCGCCCACGCTGTTCCTTCTGCATATCAATGACTTGTTGCCTTTTGGCAACATTCATTGCTATGCAGATGATAGCACAGTGCACGGTTGCTATTATAAGCAACCGTCCAGCAGCCCGGAGGACCCTGAGAGAAACCTGGAAAAACTTGTCGCTGAGCTCAACCATGTTTTGGAACATATATCGTCGTGGGGCTCCCGAAACTTGGTTGAGTTCAACGCCAAGAAACCCAGGTATGCGCGTTCAGTTCCAAAAAATCCCCATTCCTTCCACTTCCCCATCTTCAGGGTACAACGCTGACGCTGCAGGACAAGCTCAGCCTGCTGGGGATGAGCATCCGGAAGGACATGAGCAACAAAGACTATAATATAGAGAGCGTCATCTGTACCGCGTCGCGCAAGCTTGGCATCCTGAACAAGGTGCACCGATTTTTTACTCCAGAGCTGCGATACCTGTTGTATAAAGCTCAGGTCCGAAGCAGCATGGAGTACTGTTCGCACCTTTGGGACGGCTCTGCCAAGTACTTGCTCGATGCCCTAGATGGACTGCCCCGCTGAACGCACCACCGTTCCGAATTTGCGGTCTAAGAGCCACGGGGCGCTTGGAATAATTTAGCGAAATTATCTGTCGATTACTCTTAGTTCATTTTTGCAATCCTTATTAAGAAAGTTTTCTTGTTTTTCAGAATGGCCTGATACCCTGGTACAAAACAATGGAGTATCTCGTGCTGTATCCCTTCCCGGAGTACAAAGAAGTGCCTCTCTACGTGGACACCAGGCAAGAACAGTGAACACAATTAGTCCGTAACTTAGCTCTGATCACAGCTAGGTACACAAAGGTGTCCCTGAAAGTTCTGTGTTGCAAAATTAGTAGTTTGAAATTGGGTACACTCAGTCCTTTCAAAACTTATAAATGTAAGAATAATAAAATGCGGTGAATCAAATGTCAGGGCAAATAGAAAAAACAGAGTTACTTTTCAACCTTTAACAATAAATGCGTCGATAATCAAATTTTATGAAAGATATCTTCATCAAATATCTAGTTATTATCTTGTGAAACTAAAAATGATTAAGTTATTGTGACATTTAATAATAACTTTTCATTACATTCTGAGCAACTTTCACTTACATAAACCGTCTGAAGCTGTGAATTTTTGAACCTTCATTGAGGGTTTTATTGAAAAAAAAAAGACTTGTTGGTTCGTGAAATGTTACGGATTGGATTATTCGATGTGTTATAGATTAGCGTTATAAAATTATTACAAATGAATTGTTACAAAAAAAGAAATAAGCTTAAGACGACAAAAAAATGGTCATTTTCATATTGACAGCAGTGATGTCATGGTACCCCGTGACACTACAGCTGTAAATCGTTTAGTGAGCTAGCAGTTTAACTGTTATACTTTGACTGACGTGTTTTTAGGTACCGTACTTACGAGCTGAAAACTCGTCCTAATCGACACCATGGCGACCTGTTTCACCATTTTCTATGCGGACGTAGCGACAAAAAGCTCATTAGTACGTTGCTATAAGGCTTCTTAAATTCTTAGTCAGTTTTGGTTTTCCTTACTTTTGTGATATGCCGCGTTTAAATGCAACTATGACATGCTACTATAAGCGATTTTTTTGTATGATTACGCTTTTTGTTCTCTCCCAAATGTTCTGCTGCCAAACAAGTCTATGGTCTCACATAATTAGGGTTAACATTCCGATTTTTCAATAGTCCGGATAAACAGTGGCAATTACAACAACGTTGAGATTACAATTTCTCATTCAAACCCATCTAAAAAGACCACGAAGTCGTCGTGACGGGGCGCGTAGATAATAAGGCGAATAAGAGGTTGAAACTGCGCGATGGGACGGTTTTTTTACTAATGATAATCCTCTTATACAGCGCAGTAATTGAGAGTGTACATAAATCTGAACAAGATCCGGGCAGAAGGTCAAAAAGCCGTACATGTCTGCATAAATCCAGACGGTTGATAACCCTACTCATAATATGTCCGAACAATGATAAGCGTAGAAATAGCGTCATTTATAATCCGTAAAATGTAGCTCGATTACAGTACACATGTTAAATTTTATGTACCAGTCAAACAAATCGTCTGAACTATCATATACTTTAATGAGTGCTATTATATCATGGTAATAACTGAAATCAACCACCATTGTTTGTTTATGTTCAGTTGAATTTCTATAAAACGTAACCAAGCATACCTAAAAATTAAAGTGGTAAACATGGCACAAAGTTAATCAAAAATACAGCATTTAACCAAAAATACGTATGAGCAAATTACAAAAAAAAAAATATTCACATATACATTAAGATGTCGAAAATTATCGCCAAAATTTCTCGACTGAAAAAATTAATCGGCTTTATGTTTTTGACGTGCCGCAAGTCCCGACACAACACGTAAATAAAAAAAAGAATATCTTAGTGTAAAGAATTCGCATTCCATGGTTTGTGGATTATAAATAAATAGAAATTCGTTACAGACACATAAATGTAGAAAATATACGCGATAGCTAAGAGCTACTTTGATTTCTTTCTAATATTAATTTTATTGGATGAAAAGAACAACTCGCAGAATATTGCTGTTTTTCAGTCCGCCTATGTTCTCTGTCGGAACAAGACTACGAAACACGAATGAAAAGGTCTACAACAAAAATAATCATGGTTAATATAATTTAATTTTCGTAAATTCTCGCGTCGTGGTAGCTATCACATTATGTCTAAATGACATCTGCTTTCATAGTCGACTAATATAGCAGTGGCAGATCAGGTATTTAATTTTGCAGCGTAGAATACTAATCATGAGCTACAGTATCTGGCCACAAATTTGACGGTTTCTATGCTTATTCTGAGTTTAAAGGTATACTGTTGCCAAGTCTATGGTGGTACAGAATATCGAATATGGCGGTTATTTTCATCGAATTCGTAGAAAGAAGTCGTAGGGAGCGTGTAAGCACCAAGTCATGACCATTGTTGTGTCATTATCAAGAATAATACTTTCTATCATTCCATTATTTTCGAAACATTTGATCATCGACTGACTGCCGTTGTGACAATAGTTTCTAATGCCGTCGGCAGTTAACAGCGTTAATCACATGCAGGTAACAAGCGCATTGTTACATTGTGCCTACAATATGGCGTAATATATAATCTACCACAAGCGTCATATTTTACAATTGATGTGAGACCACCACTAGAAACGTTAGCAGACGTAGTGTATCCCATTATTTTGACACTAATAGAGTGTGCACTCACTCACTCGCGGGTCACTCAAAACCCTATAAAAATTAACTCTATTTTTGAGGCTCAATTCAGTACGTGAAACTATGCAACATTACCTAGGAGAACCCTTCGAAATAATGAAAATAAATTTTAGTTACTAATAATAACATCCGTTCCGCTCTCCCGTTAAAAAAATCAAAATTCATTATAGGCCATGAGGGAGGCGAGAAGAGAAAGAAGTAGATTATAATAATGTGCCGATTACATTAATTCCGGGGCTCGATCCAGAACACCGAGATCAGTTTCCGGAACCTGGGAATCGGCCAAATTAAAACACAATGTCAAGTGCGAGCTCCATTAGTCGAGATCACTTATTGAGCACGAGAGTACAGGGCCAGTTTAGAAACGCTCGAACTCCCCTCGTGCTAACAGTGAATAATAAACCACTGGCTCGTCGTGCTCTTTAGTTCTTCCATACGCTTTGGTAAAGTATGAATATTTTGTATGCAACGGACTGACAGTAAATGTAGTTTCGTCAATGTACTGAATACCAGCTCTTAAATTAGAACAAGTTAATTTTATTGAATCTTCAATTTCTAACAAATACGAGACTAACTGACAAATTCCAATTTTGACATAGTTTAGTTATAAGTGTATAAGGAATTTCAAATTTGAATACTGTATGATTTGATGTTGTTTTAATCAAAATTATTATTATTTATTGCTCTACTATTTATATTTATTTACACTTTTTCGTGTTTTTGTTTTTGTTCGATGTACGGACGAAGTTAGCCATGCCCTGTGCTTGCAGTTATTTTCTATTTGGAACATGCTAGAAAGGGCATATATTTCGAATAACTAATGACATAATGAACTAGAGATAGTTCATAAATCATACGAATGACTCAATGAATGTATTAAATCATAATGCCCCCTGCAATTAGTTGGCGAAAATGAATTAAAAACGTCACAATGTAAGACTGTAAATTAGGAATAATTTTTCCGTGTTAAAGGGGACTTTATATAAGCATATATCAAATAGAAAATAACGTTACGGAAAGGTCACAAAGAATCATGATTGTATAATCTCTTAGACTGATTTTCTTTATAGCTTTTTTATTTAGTGTATTTTTCAATAATTATAATAATATTGCGATTGCGCCAGTCGCATATTTACACGGCAAGTGTCACGGACATTTTTATAACAGTTAAATCATTATTGTGAAAATATATTTAACAAATTTTGTACAAAATATGAGTTAAGAATCATTTTAACGCAAAACTGTTTTGGAGCAATGTCGGTGTTTGTTGTTGTTTCATTTTGAGTACATGTGTACTTTTTTAATGTTATGTAAATCCAGAGAGTTTATAACCGCGTCAATACACGTAATCTGGCGGTGCTAATAATTAATTGAAAAGAAAAAAATATAACTTTAAACTTTGTCAATAAGTTTGAAGCGTTTTTTTTATTTTCGGTTCTATATTAGTAAAACCTACTGCAGCAAATAAACTTCTTGGATAAATTTGTCTTACGTAAAAATAAACAACACAGTATCCAAATGTAATCAGTAAGTTTTTGCTCAATGAATTTCTCCAGGAATTTCTAAATTGTAATGCGAACGACTTAGTTTATGAAATACCTTTATAATTATTCACAATGGAGGCCTACTATGATTCGTCCTTTATACTATAGAATAGATTTTCTTCAATTACTGTAATTTTCTAGCTTTACACGTGGGCCACCGTTATGTAGCAACTAGTTTTCCCATATTTAGTCACCAGCAATTATAACATGCCAGTTCATTGAACACTGGTGACATTAGCTTTATTGCATTTATCATTTAGGAGTCACCAGCTAAATAGAACTCTTTTGTATTGTTATGTTATAAACGACAGGTGTCTTTTGTAAATTCATATTTGCCTTTATAACCAGAAATTTAGCCGGCGACCAAACAATGACCAATGTATGAAATCATTTTTATATATCGTACCTTGAATAATAAAGAAAAAAATAACGTACGTTGCAACCGCCTTATTGTCATGTAACTACTGCTAAATATGAAATTATTTTGTGATATGAATAATTATATATGATTTTTGTATACTTATTTTGTCAGTTCCAAAACTTTAGTTTTCGAATTATGTGACTTTATTATTTAAGACGCGATATAATTATGACCACACATGATGAAGGCCAAATAACATTGGTCTTTGCCTCAATAAAATTATGAACTATCTCTAATGAACTTTCTAATCTTAAATAACAAAAGCCTAAAAAAGTTGTTATTCTCAAATATTCCTTGTTGTATGTAAATTAGTATATTTATGAGACTTTTATATCGTTTTGAGCTTCAGGTGAGATCGTCACGTGACATGGACCTAAATTGTATATAAATCTGATATAGTGTATATAGAAAGAGTAATATAAATTGGAAGGAGCTATGTATTGTTTTTTATTTATTGATCCTCGGTTATATTTCAATGACACTCTCCGGAAAAAAAATGGAAGCGAATTTTCGTTACGATATTGTACACAGCGTAATGAACTTTATGGCCAATTGTCTAACGTACAAACAAGATACGAGCCAAAAACACGTCTTGCGTCTTCCGAGGAATACATTGCGCTTGCCTTCGAACATGAATATAGACGTAAATTATTATTTGACCTCTAGATTTTCGGTTCGGTACGGTAAAAATGAATTTGTTGATTTACTTAATTTACATAAATTACGATTACGTTAGTTATAATGACCACCTTATTATAACCTATTATCACTAACGGATACTCTGCTCGTCAGTACCACCAAAAAAAGTTGATCAGTGCGATGAGGCCGGTTTCAAAAAGGTGGGAATGAAAAAGAAGTACACCAGCCATAACTTTAGTGGCACCGCCCCGACTGGCCCTAATCATTTACTGTGTCCAGCCATACCACGACATTGTTATATACGTGCCACGGCTTCATTACTCCACAAAGCCTGCCGATATTGTGGAGTATATACGGGTGAAAGCCAATGCTGCCCTAAGGGTCAAACAGTTCGGGTCCCGCCGAAATGTGAATTTTAATTCATTTGTGGTGAGAGTATCAACTCAACATCTGACGGTCTTCATGAAGGACGTGTTTTGGCCAAAGGGCGTCATATACCGACGTTTCCGAGACCGGCTACCGGACACCCGCGTTGCGTCACACGTCGCAGACAGTACGTGTAAATAATAATTAGTCTTTAGTGTTTTATTATTATTATGTATGCTAGTCTATAAGGTATGTATTCGTGGGTCTTTGTAACCAGAATACAAAATAAATAAATTAAATAAATTTAAAAAATGCAACTAACGTAATCGGCATTTTTAACGAATTTGAGTTATTAACATATCTAGAATTAGTGAAACAAGGTCTACAACCCCCTGTTAGCGGTTTCTTTATATCTTTTTTTTTTCAGTTTTATTGTTAAGCAAAATCATCATAACTGACATGTGTTTAGGTGCCAATAAAACTTTCAAAGCCAAGATCTCGAAAGTTATAGATATGTACGTAATGCGTTAGTTATAGACTTTATGACAAGGCGGGCAGAGTAGTAAATCCTTGGACGATTCGTTCATAAGGAGCTCTACTGCTGTAAATATAATTAAAAACAACGTAATTAATTAATCTACTTACTTACAGGCTTACACACATACGAGCCTACATATGCCCGATTCTGTACCCTTGCTCTTTGTTGCCTTTTTAACTTATAGATAAATTAAAACAGTTTTTATTTAACATCTCTGTCAAATTTGGTGGAAAGTTAATGTTAATACGTTCCATTTAGGAAGCCTGGAAGCCTAAAACACAGATCTCTTGATCTAGTTTAGATTCCAGTCTCGTGCAGATTTTGTCTTTTGTGAATAAAACCTGATTCTGTAGTATTTGTAACCAACATTTGTGGAGAAAATAAATTTCTTATTATTATTAATTATTCCAAGAATTTCTTTTTAGAGGGTGTTATTTGTAACGACTTAATTTAAACACGCTGCATAGAAAATACCGTGTTTTTTGTAATACCAAGTGACGGACGAACATGTCGTGCGCCTGCTGGTAAGCGACACGCCTGTCCACAAGTGTTGCAGTGTCACTCAGAGCTTTAAATCGCAAAGATCTTAGTGGCAGTGCTACTGCGCCCGTCATCCTGAGACATAAGTTGTAAGTCCCAAGTGCCTGTAATTTTAACCCTGCAAAAGCGGAAGCCCGGAACGCAGTAATGCTCACATTCCTGCTTGGCGGCATAAATAGGTAAGGTGGCAGTACTCTTTCCTGGATGGACTCTTTCACAAGGAGATCTACTGCTCTAAACATCGACGTGTGACCGAATGCCGTGTACGGTTACAATAACAACTAAAAGAAATTCAATAGAAAAAAGAAAGGAAAAAAGATTGACTCTTTTGTCATGTGTACGTAAATTAATACCGAATTGATAGCTTCCTTTTTTGGAACAATTCTTAGAAGTAACCGATCGCCATCCGCGGCAGTCTCGTGTGGGGCCACGGGATAAGCGGTTGCGAGGTAAGGTATGTAATTATTTTTAAGAGAAGAACGTGGACGACGTGTTTAAGGTTGTTAATTCAGCCATTAAACTCTTCATATTTCACACTAGAGAAAAAACGTTCAAGGGAAACTATTAGTGAATGTTACGTGCCATCCGACACATGTTCACACTAACTACCCAGATACACAAATTATTTTACACTTTGTTTGTAGCCTCTCACTATCAATCGTAATTTTGAAATGTGTAACACTTTCAGTACTTTCGCTTACAATTACTTTCGTCTTACATTAATTCCTTTCTTTTTCACGCTGCCTGTACGAATAGTTGTTAGCATCTCGTGCAGCTGTTCTGACGACAAGGCTAGATGAGTTGCTTGTTGGCGTAAAAAGACATTTCACAACTCATTAATTTTTAATGCACATTCACTCTTTTTTCACATATAAAAAGGTTAAACAGCCACGCCTACACGACACAGCCCAGCCTAACACTTCTAAACTATTCAGTGAATGTCTGTGTGTGACAATAGGTTACAATTTTGTCTACGGTCTACGGTTCATTCCATCTAGCTATCATAAGCCTTCTACAAAATCTTAGTAGACTTTTAGTTTTATGTCAAGATTTTTCGATTATGCACCTGAAAGAAAAGATTTGATCCACAACCCTATGTCATAGTTCCGCTTGTATATCCCATGCTTACTTTTCATTTATAACCCTCAAAATAGAAACTTTTGCATACAATTTACCAACGACGGTACAGAGGCTGGTAGAGCGGTAATTTTTGTAGTCTTGCTGTCGTCTTTATTTTATAGAGGAACAAAATCACGGCTTCACCAATCTAGTTTTGTTCTCTTTCCTCTAAGGCGGTGAAGCATATTGTCTATTTGGGGAGCTTTCCCGCGGACTACAGCATGCCTAGTTTATCGTAGTCTATATCGTATCGTATATATTATTTAATCTTTTTAGTTAATTACAATTATGATTAATCTTTATCAAAGTAGTGTTTCAAAATGTTACATTTATCTTTCTTCTTCTTATATAAGATTTCCAATCTGATCCCACGTTGACGTTTGCAGTAAAATGGCATCCTTAAAGTTTGTTTTCAATATTGTATCATCCCGGATAAAAAAGGTTAAAAATGCTGTACGGCTGATAATTCTTTGCCATAATAAACTTATAAGAGTTGGAGCTCACCGCTAACCTAGTGACCTCGTAAAAAGCGACGCCGGCGAAAGTTGCTGCATCCGAGTCAAGTTCAATAACACAGCATAACAGTACAGTGCGGAGCTGCGCACGCGCTTCACACAACGATGGTCTCACCGTTGCCACTTGTTGCTCGGACTCACTCATCTCGTCTTGTGCATGGATCCACGATGAGGAGTTTATTATTCATCGCAGTCGTATTCTGTGTCACGCCTGTCGTGTGGCCCGCTAAGTATTTGCCAAAATGGAAGAAGCAGGTGAGATTTTTAATATTTTTCAGTTTTGCCGATTCCTTATACTATTGTTAGATATTTGTATCTAAAAGAGTATGTAGAGGCGCTTATATACAACAACTTTATTAATACGGTGCGACCTACAAACAAGCAACACCGAAATATATGTACTTACTAAATAATTCTAACATACCAATCAAATGGAAGGACAATTTTTGTGAAGATAAACATGTTTAATACGTCCGTGTTCGAACGAATATTACGATTACCGATTATAAAAAAGTGTACGCCGATTACAATAGTAAATTGAAATTGAAGGTGTTACGCAGTAAGTAATAATTATTCCTCGTTATAGCATTATTAAATTAATACGAAAAAAAACGAGAATTACAAACCAGTGGGTAAGGTTAGTGTACTTTCCCATTCCGTACTCATGGTTCATATACCAAAACTATTTACTGTCTACAATTTTAATAATAAGTATATAGAGTTTATGGGCAATAAATAACTTTAAGTTCTTGTTAGAAACGTCGCTAGTCACAAATGTCTCTATTCTTACGTACAAAACCCTGCAAATATCTCTATCAGGTATCCTTGCTTTTAATGCATTAAAATGTTTCGAATCAATTAATCAGTCCTCATTAGCGACGTTTGAAGCTTGTTACTGTTTCCAGTAGAGTGTACCATCGGAGTGCTAATAGAAATTAAATTGTTTACTATTTACTAAATATGTTTAAAATATAAAGTAATGTTTGTTTTGAAACCGGCGCCGGCGTTTTCCTGTTGCAGCGGCACTTTCTCGCTGCTTTCTCGGCTCGTTAGAAAGTAACTGACTCAGAACGCAGTGTCGCAAGTGTGGTTGCGCCTGTGTCGCCGCTGTCCTGGTCAAGGAGAGAGAGCTATATTTGTTCTTTTGCCTTTCTACACGGTCAAAGTTTAGGCGAACATTCCATTAACAACCGTTTCATTGTTTTCGCAGGTACAGAATGAAAAAAAATAAAACGTATTGTATAAGTAGAGTAAATTCACGTGCTTGTTTATTACGGAAGTTATCCTTAAATGTCCAATGCACTTATTAAGACTTATAACACATAATACAATGCTTTTAGAATTTTCGTAAAAAATAACATTCCTCCTCCTTATGATTAAGGACCACGAATTGGTTCGAAACATGTCGAGCAAAAATTCGACTTGAATACGTGAGTTATCCGTTATTTTTAGTTAATATGTCTGAGTCTCACGGTGGTTTTCTGTATAAAATAACATTCATCTTTGTATTTCTACTACGTAGTATTGCAACATATTTTATTTTAATAAATATTTGCCTCTAATGTTTGTAGTTATATCGTGTTTTGTCCACACGTCGGAGTTGTATGTTGCTATTTTACACTATTTCACCAATAAAGCATATTGATGCAATTTAAGCCCTGTCACTAACTTAGTTTTTATTATCTTCGTTTGCATTAGTCGTGAACTATTCGGATACTAGCTCGTTCCACAATACCACTATATTCAATCGTGTGTTGTTTTTCCAATAAATATATCTTGAGCACACTGAACTAGAGCACATACATTCGATTATTGCAACTTAAAAATAACCCGCACACCTGCACGCAGCACCCCCATCTAGTCCCCATTTCATCGACAGCCTTTCCGGCAGGCGTGTGAGCTGCCGGCGGTTCAGAGCGAGCATAGCCACTACGTGTGCGACGACAAGGGCGAGCCTAAGTGTCTGCCCGGCTGGCAGGGAGATCTTTGCGACGTTCCTATTTGCAAAAAAGGATGTGACCCTTTACAGGGTAAGGAGTACTTTTAATATTTACGTATACAGACAGAAAAACTAACTTCTGCCGTCAAGCAATAATGTGAGCATTACTGCGTTTTGGTTTTGAAAGGTAAGGGCGCTGGTAAAGCTAAAGGAACACGGTAAATTTTAGGTCTCGAAGTGATGGGCACAGTGACAGTGGGCCTCGGGTCGTAAAATCCATGTTTTACAAGTGACTTTAATAATAACTTTGCATTAGGTTTTTATAGAACCTAAAAGAATGTTGACTTGTTGTTTTATAATGACAAGGAAATTTGTGTGACACACGTGTGACAACACCTCTATTCATCCATCAATTAATTCTAATTAATGTTGTGCCACTGCCAATCACTCAAAAATAACGACATTAACTCGCTAAGAAGTGGAAGATTGTATAGTGAGAATGAAATTACAAGTATTACAACCTGTGTCAGGATACTGCAAGCGCCCCGGCGAGTGCCGCTGCAAGCTCGGCTTCTACGGCGACAAGTGCAACAAGTGCATCCCGCTGCCGGGCTGCCAGCACGGCTCTTGCAACGTCTCTTTCGAATGCATCTGCAAAGACGGCTGGGACGGACTCTTTTGCTCTGAACGTTAGTAACAAAATCGTTAATTATGAGTAAAAATATTTCTTATGTCAGGCTTCAAAATAGCACTTCCTTCTACAGTCTTTTAAATAAGTTTTTGTATAAACAAAGGTGATGGCTATTATAGGTGTTTTTGAACATATTGCAGCAATTTGCCGGTCCGATTGCCACGCGACGCGCGGCTTCTGCGAGTCGCCGGGCGAGTGCCGCTGCCGACTCGGCTGGGCGGGGCCCACCTGTCGCGCTTGCCAGCCTCTGCCCGGCTGCCAACACGGCTACTGTGACAAACCGCTTGAATGCAAATGTCTGCCCGGGTATACCGGGTTGTTGTGCCAGACTCGTGAGTACAAACATTGTGTAAACATAATACCTGAATTAAAAGAGACACAATTCCCGTTCGCTTATCGCACATTTTACTAATTTGTCGTTTTCAGCAATCTGCGCATCGGGCTGCCATAGCGAGCGTGGTTACTGCCGGCGACCGGGCGAGTGTCGTTGCAAGGTGGGATGGACGGGGCCCACCTGCACGCAGTGTCACTCGTACCCAGGCTGCGTACACGGTTCCTGCAATCGCCCATGGGAGTGCAACTGCGAGCCCGGCTGGGGTGGCATGCTGTGCGATGAAGGTGATTTGCGACGTTGATTTCCTTATTATCTACCAATTTCTTTTGAAACGCATGTAGATTACTTTAGCTTATGTATGACAATTTACTAACAATATCTTCAAATATCCCAGAGCTGAACTACTGTGAGAAGAATCCAGACACGTGCAAGAACGGCGGCAAATGCCAATCCTTAGAATCAAATGACGGCCTGTACCGGTGTTCGTGCCCGCCGGGTATCAGCGGAAGGAACTGCGAGAATCTTCCCGAGGTCGCTGATAACACTACGACCTCGGAGTCTGGTGACGTCACCAACGACACCGCTACTAAGGAGCCTAGCAATGGGGAGAACGAGACTGAATGAGAGAAATAGTCTTGAATCTTAGGAAATTAGTTTTAAGAGCAATTTTCTCACAATCTGCAAACAAAAGACTTGTAAAGCTTACATCCACCGCAGAATAAATCAAGGGATGAGTTTATTACGATCGATTTAACCAGAGAAAAAAGAAATTGAAAACGTGCTTCAAAAGCATCACATTTGGAAATATTAATTTCATATCATTAGCAATTGTAGTTGCAAATATAATTAAGAGGTCTGCAGCGATAGTCAGATTTAAGTAAACTGTCACACGTTGTTTCTGCGTTAAGGAAGGGGCAATGCACGAAGCAGGTTTACCTGCAACGCTATCAATAATCGAACCAAATTAAACAGATAGGTACAGCGCAATGCAATTTTCATACACCGCATAATGAGACGTAAACATGCAACATATTCCTAGTTCCGTTGTTAATCGACTATGTAAATTAATTTCCATACATTGACTGATTGTGTGCATTTTTTTAATTACTTCATTTCTAGGTAATTGAACAAAAGGTATATGACTGGGGAGTGCGGTATTTTTTTAACAGCTTCGGAATCGTAATTGTGCTTGAGATGCGACAGTGAATTTTAGTTTTAATTGATTTATTTTAGGGCTTTAAGGAATAATAAATTAATTTATTTAAAGAAGCTTGTTGTTTTGTTAATTTATTTCCCGATTTGTCATATTCAATTTAAGTAAGCAAAAGTTCAGATCACTTCAGTTTTTACAAGTAAATGCGACGTGTTTCTACAGTAGAACTTCATGTAGGTATGTTTTAGTACATACCACCCTTTTTAACAGCTTATTATTTCAACAAACGGTTTCTAAGTTACTTACTTAAGCTACAACGGTTTTACACGGTTGATTGGACAATTAAATATTAACATTAATGTTATTTGGGACATTCTCTAAATCCACTTTTGGATATATATTTAACCGTCATCGGAATTTAACGGTAAATACGTCATTGGCACTGTGTATAATATTTAATTTTTGATTAAAGTTGGTTACTTTGTAAATTTCCTATTCGATTTTGTTTCTTTTATGTAAAGATGGGAGTTAGTTAAAGAATAAACAGGTAGCCGAATAACAAGAGAGTTAAAGCCTTGTGTTACAATATGACAGAGTGACTAGAGTGGATTCGTATAGCATAAAGTTGGGTTCAGTATAGTGATGCAACGGAAGTGTCGTAAAGGAAACAGAAACGGAAGCAGATGTCAAAAGTATATCTTAGCGGAAACGAAAGCGGATGTGATAAGTATTACAAAGAACTCAACAAAATAGCTCCCAATATGGCTTGCTTTGGGTTTCATAAATGCAATTATTATACAACACAAAAGTACTAAAAACGCACCTGATTCGTTGCAAACGTTGTAAACTTCCGATTAAAGTTCCGTTAAAAATATTGCGGAAGCAGAAACAGTTACGGAAGTAGAAGCAGAGTTCTGTTGCACCATGCAGATGGCAGCTGTTCAAAGTGACATGATACTTCTTTTTCTTATCATATCGATGGCATACACTTTATTATCGCGACCCAGACCTTATTCACGTTGACCACGCCACTAGTAGCTATCACGCTGGGCTGTGACGGGATACGTTTGCCATCGTGGTGAAAGGTTTTTCGAAACCGCGTAGGGCACTCGCGCATTGTATCCCAAGGTACGCGAGGCGAACATGGAATGTCGAATATCAGTTTTAGCGGAAGCGGATGCGGAAGCGGATGCGGAAGCGGTGTCAATACAACATACGTGATTGCGCTATCGTCATTCGCACTCACGTAGTACAGTACGCCCTGCGAGGAGGTGGAGTTCGTGCACACGATATGACACTGTTTTCGAATGACACCTTCTGATTTGAAAATTTCCAACGCCGTATTATTTACTCCACAAAATATGTTTTAAAGTACCTCATTGAGTCGTAAGAGGTGCTGTAGCATTTGATATGCGTTAACATACATATATGTAGATGTAAGTGTCGCATACCAGCTTTCCTATATAGATGAAGTCACAGGAAAAAGTTAGTTACATTAGTTACATTTAATTTTACGTAGGTTCGCCATCATTTAATGAGATAGATAGATAAAACCTGTGTTCAGCACAAATACAAGCAGATGCAAGCATTTACAATTACTTTGCCGGGGATAACACAAAAGCACATAGTGCATAAATTAGTAGACATTGATAGAAACACGTACTTCAGAAAAAAAGTATTTTAAACTGATCATATCTATCTGATAGAGTTTGTGCTGGAATGACCTGGACTCAGCAGCTCGCGGATTGCAGACCGTGACAATTCAAGAGCGCAGTTTTTCTGCCACTACCATTTGATGAGCGATCGCATATATATTTTAGTAGCCGTGCGTCTGATGGTTCGCGACAAGCCAGCCCATAACAGTTGCAGTGCCGTTCACGCCCGTCACCCTGTTGATAAGTCTCATGTGCCTGTAATTTCACCACTACCTTTACCCTACAAAACCGGAACGCAGTAATGCTCACATTACTGCTTGTCGGTAGAAATAGAACTCACAAACAACTATATTTTACGGCTACAAAAATAAACGTTTTTCTAGGTTCAACATCATCATTCAAAGACTGACTTCACCCACTGTTGGGTTTGAGCCTCCGATCCAGTAGTTAGAGCCAGAGCATTATTAACAAATTTTTTAGGTGAATACGAATATAGACGTGATTATTGTTTAATCTCTTGATTTTCGGTTCTCATCTCTCACTTGGAAAAAGTGAGAGATGAGAACCGAAAATCAAGAGATCTCTAATAATCTTTTCGTTCTTCTTCTCTTATTACATCAAGATAAAAACGAATTTATTATTGCTTTTTAGGCAAGATGAAACTTTAAGCAGTAAAGATACATACATATATATGTACATACTTCACGCCTTTTTCGGGGTAGGCAGAGACAACAAACATCCTTCGCCACATCAACATGCATCATTGCTTTCATACATGCTCGTCGATTAAGGATTCTCTTCACCTGGCCTTGAGCAGTAGAGGTGCTTTCAATATTTGAACTGATACGTCCAGACACTGAATGTTTAGATTTATTTCATCATCGTTCACAACCTGCCTTCACGTCTGCCCGGTAGTGATAGTGAGCTCACGTTTGGTATCTTGCTGCAGGTTTTAGGTTTCTATAACCACTTCCTGGCCAGCATTCGGTAGTCACTTTACGTAAGATGGAGTAAGATGATGAGTTGATGAGAGATGATGAGTTATCTAGTACGTAGAAAATTACTATTCAACAGCCATGAACTAAAAACGTCAAACGATACACTAAATTGACAACAACTTAACCATATGGCAGAGAGAAGTTAGGTACTGATCAATTATCTAAAAGCTATAGAAATCATGGAGTCCCTGTCTACCGCGTAGGTTATATAAATATATAAATGGTTGGGTACGGGAATTCGAGTGAATTGATTAATTTGTAGCTAAATATGTTGTAGTGCCAATTCTGCGGATGCCTTCGTCTGTTGACGGCGGATCAGATCGCTCCGTGAGCGTTTCCATTGATTCGTACGAGAGGTAACGACTACGCGACGACGACGTGCGTACGGTGAAAGGAACATCTGTATTGTACTCTCATTTTGTATCTCTGAAGGTGAGGGTTTTTACTTGATTGAGAATATTTTATCCGAATACAAGAATTAAATAAAAAACATGAAACAGAATTGGATTAATGTCGAGAATAACTATTTCATTCATTCAGTCGTGGTTTCAGCAAGCGATAATGAATTAACCAAACCTGTACGCATAGGTATACTCTATAACAGGTCCACCCAGATGGTAATCGAATGCGTGACGTTTTACAGGAGAGACAAACGTTCTCCTAACTATGCTATCACTATTTTAAAATGTTTCAAAATTACGTAATTGTACATTAATAATGCGATCGATACATTAAATTGGTTCACTCATTTTGCTCGGCTTTCAAATTCATTAATTCATCATCTTTAATAAGAAGATTCAAACATATGAGTACCTCACGAAAGAAATCTCTAAAAACAGTATATTTTAGGGATGCACATTACTATTCCATTTTTATGAAGATCGATTTAACTGTATACGAAGTAGCGATTTTTTGTATCGATTAATTTCAATGTGTTTTTTAAGTAAATTGATTCAACATAGAGGCGAATCGGATCGTCTAGGTCGTATTCATAATTTAAAGAAAACAGTTTTTTCTGAACCCCTAATTTTACATTGGCCTGCAAGAAAAGCGGTTTGGTAACATCTAAGTACATAAGTCGGCAATATTTGGCGATTCTCATTACTTCTGTGCTTTCGGAACGTCTTTTCTCACTGGCTAATACCACTCGAAAGAAAGGTCGGAACCGACTGAAGCCAGAAAAGCTGTAAAAATTTTATTTATTCGAAATTAATTTTTGGAACGATAATTATAAGATCGATTTAAGAGCACATGATCCGGTCTGTGGATCGATTCAGAGGCATTGATCCATTATGATCCAAAAACATTATTCAAAGCACGAAAATGAGCATCCCTAGTATACTTACTAGTATACTAGGCACATCTATGTACCTATTTTTATGTTTTATGCAATAAAGTGACAGTGGTGGTGGCCTTGTTTCGTAGGAGAGGACGGATGCTTCCCAATTCAGAGAATGTTTGTGGAAGTCTTTGAATCGTTTCAGGATACATGATTATATACATCATAAATTTGCATTATCTAAAATTTCTTTGAACTTTTTTTATTTTGCTTTCACTTTGTTTTCACTTGTAATTGCTCAATCATAGCTATTAAGTCTACCCGGGGGTGGAGACCTGGTTACCTGAGATACAGGTTCTCCTAGTTCAGGGACCAGCCTCCACAACCAGATTATATCTTGATGTTATGTAAAGCGTCTATTTATGTCTATACGACCACTGTTTGTGGAGACAATAAATGATTTATTTATTATACAAGTTGACTATGTAGAGACAACATGGTAAAGAGGGAGAGGGACTATATCAACCCGAGTCACAAGCATTCTGCTTGCGAATACCCATACGATGCTTTTCTAACCTGCTCTCGTGCCCACTGTATCTGACCAACAGCACCCGCAAAGCTCTGCTGGAGATAACAGACAGGACATACAGAGGATGTCTCTCTATATGTCTTCTACGTCTTTTTACTTATTACGTATACCTCAAAAACTTTCCTTAGAGGGGACCTGTGCACAATAGTGGGACGTCTTATAGGTTGACGATGACGGTAGTAAATTTGAGACTAAGCGTGGTTGATGGATGTTAAGGAAAATAATAATTTAGTTGGATAACCATATATTTTGTTAAATCATTTGAGCATCGTTCGATGTAATGTAATAGTAATATATCAAATCAATTGTCTAACAAATCATATTTTATTTATATAAAATGCACACTTCGTTCACTGGATACTGTGGAGCCGTTTCAGTTTGCGCGGGCGCATACAGCTGTAACAATCTTGTTTGTATATAAACGCGGCGCAAGCGTTTCGCGCGCAGATTCAATCGTACACCTTACTAGATCATTCAATAATTTCTAATGTGATTTGTGTCTTTCATTATTTAGGAGCAATGGCGTCGATTCCTGTTTTGTTGGTAAGATACATACATACATAAGTACACACCATTACACTTGTCTTTTACTAGGCAGATATATGAACCTCCACTATCTGCACTTCTTCTACTCGCATCAGCAGGCATTTTAAACAAGTCCGTTCATACTACATACTTTGACTTGGATTTTTAAAAGAACATACAAACTGCGGTGTAGTATTATTCAAATCAACTAAGTATAAAGGACAATAACATAAAATATTAATCATAACTACTTCAATAACAAACAGAAACCTGGGCTAGGCAGAAGGGCTAGGTTAATGGGCTATATAGGAGAAGTATCTGAATTTATTTCATTTTAAAACTAACATGTAAAGGAAACTATGATAATATTATCATAAACAATAAGAAAAGAACCTTAATTATTTATCTTCACAAAACTATACAATTTTTTTATGACACCAAGTGACGGGACCTATCAGTCGTGCGCCTGCTGCTAAGAGACACGCCTGTCGATAACAATTGCAGTGCCGTTTCGAGCTTTAAATGGCAAAGATCTGCGAAGCACTGCCACTGCACCCGTCACCCTAAGACATAAGTTGACAAGGTCCATGTGCCTGTACTGTCACCAGCACCCTTAAATTGAATCTTAGAAGTTAATAGTGTAGTTAGTAGTGTAGTTGCGATGCCTAAACCAAAAAGGCATCTTGTTATAAATATGCGAAGTATACTAATAATACTATAATAATAATAAATATACATAATTTCAATAAGAAAGAAGATATCCATAATATTAACCTTAGAGCTAAGTCCAAACTCATGGTACCACGATTTCGTTTAACCAAGGTAAACAACTCTTTTATGGGGAACTGTATACGTTTTTACAATAAGATTCCGGAGCATATATTAAGTTTATCATTTCCTAAGTTTAAAAACTACATTAAAAATATTTTGATCTAAAAATCATATTACAAAACTGAAGACTACGTATTAGATAAAGATGTATGGAAAGACGACATGGCTCCAGAATCCACACAAATTTGATTCAAAGTGTATTCCATAGCATTTAAGTTTATTGGAAAAGAGCAATCCCTAGAGTTTCTTGCTCGTTCTTCTCAGGGAGGTCAGCGTAGTGAACGAGCAGTAGCTTAAATGTGACGTTTTCAAGTGTAAATTTATTTTACCTATGGAATAAATAATCTTTGACTTTGACTTTGACTTTAATACTTCGCAGTAGATATTATAAAACGGTACTATTATAGACTGTTTACTAAAACGTAGCAAGCTTAGACATAGGGTCCGAAGAAATGCGAGTAATATAAACGTTGCGTACTGTACAGAACATAGCTCTCATCTTGAGAAAACGTGTCGAATTTTACCCGATACTCGTGAATAGTCTGCACGTATGAATAGAAATATTAACATATTCACATTTGTATTTCCGACACAGCGTTGTGAACATAACGCTTGTTTTTTCTACCAGGTAGCGGATAACATTTGCAATTAATCTATCTGGACTTGTGCGTGGCGTACGAGCATCCTATGTAACACTTCGCTGGTCACTAGTTACTTCATAAGCTATTATGAAAAAGTTATAAGCATTATTGGGTTGTGGGAGTGCCTAAAAAATATTTCCGTTCTTCGGTCACACTGAAAATATTTTATCGTTATCAGAGATCGAAGTGGCCAGACCGTATTTACGTTAACTTCTAAGAAGTAATTAATATACATAGAGTGTGTAATAAATCCTCCTGGAATCTCGGAATTGCTGTGTTTTATTTTTATCTATATTTTTGATAAAATATAATAGATAAAATCTATGATAAATGTAGCAGTTGTTTTGCTACAGTACCTATGTGTTTTATAATTTATAAGTAAATCAAGGTTTAGGTAAGCGAGACCGAGAAGTCCGTTTAAACAATCATTAATCATACAATTTCAATTGATAAATATTCATAATTAAGGTTAATAATCATTAATAGAACATTTGAAATAAATACGACCTCGGTGGCCTAACGGTTTACGCTGTGGGCTTGCTGGATGCTGGAGGGTTCGATTCTCGGTAGAACCACTTTGGGAAATTAACTTTTCTAAATTCGTTCTAGTCTGGGTGTTTTGGGAAGTGCCCCAGAATGAATTCCATCGGTCTGGTACTCATAGTAATTTCCTAATTTGAGACCAGGTAATTGGTGTGGTTGTTGAGCACATAATTATTGTTAAATTACAGCAACTTAAAATGTTAATTACTAAAGATCTTCAGAGAAACTAAGGACTACTTATTTTTTACTAAGTTTCACTAAGGCTTCAAGACATAATTGCTAAAAATAATTATCAGGCACTTAACCATTTCCGCATGAAGCGGAGAGCGAACCTCTGCGCAATGTAGGTTCCCCCATTCATTACCAAAGTCGGAAACCGATTGCACTTAAGTAGAACACACGTGATTAGTTCTCGCGAATTCGAGTGACACAGGAAAATCTGAGTTACGAAATTAGATACAACCTAGATACAATTTACTAGTATTTATCTAAACATCTTTCTCGAATGTTTTGACATTCATTAGTAGCAGTAGAGCTCTTTGTGGAAGAGTTCGTCCAGGAAACCTTACCTATTTCTGCCACCAAGCAGTAAGGTATGAGTGTGGGTAAAGGGGTGCTGGTGAAATAACAGGCACATGGGACTTGTAAACTTATGTCTCATGGTGACGGGCGCAGAACCCCTCCGGTCTTTGCGTATTAAAGCTTTCAGTGGCACTGCAACTGTTATGGACAGGCGTGTCGCTTACCACCAGGCCCACGACTTGTTCGTCCGGTCACTTGGTATTATAAGATAAAATCAGTGCAACACTAACTGAAACACATAACTTAAAACCACGTGATAGGTCAGACTTTAGATATAATTATCACTTATTGTTCTAAAAAGAAGAAGTCTTGTAAATAACCAAGTATTAACTATCAAGATAACGCCTGGCCTTTTTTACTTCATAATTTATGTATCACTGCAAGTGCAACAAATTCACACAAGGTGGTACGCCAGTTTACCACCTTGCATCGGTCAGGGGGTCACCTTGACCCACGGCTAATTTATATCATTGCCTTGGTATAATAAAATACACTCTTACATGGTTTAATAAACTAGTTCACTGCTATATGCCTGTTTGTAGCATATAAAAATAAATCAAGTTGCAATTACAAAGTTACAGAAATATCTATAACAAATTTTAGCTATGCTGTGTTTATGTTATTAACAACCTCCGTGGCTGAACGGTTACCATTCGTCTGCCGCGCAGAGGTCCCGACTTCGTTTTTCGAGCCGGAAGAAATATTTGTATGACCTACATTTATTTCTCTCGTGACTTTGGGTGTAATTTGTGGCTGTCTATATGTGTGTCCATGGCACCCGCAACACAGGGTTTCCCTAGTGCGAGGATGCCAGTGTGTGCGTTATTATTATTATTATTATTATTATTTCTCACACTCTCGCCTCTCCCGTGGCCTAAAAGATACATTTTCAATTATTATTATTATCATAGACATACACGCATTGCTTTATTTTTGGAGTACACCCTCGGAGTAATAAACTGTTATCCTCCAAAATGACATCTTTTCAGGACAGACAGTATTTGCGTTTTAGGCGCCCCGCCGCGCAAACCAGTGTTGGGCAAAATTTAATTGTTCTGGCAATTAAAGATTGACAATTAGTTAATTGCGAAACAGCAATTAACGATTGATCAATTGTTAATCGCGTAGCGTTAGTAGGCGAAAGTTACTTTTTACTCCTAAATTAGTTATTTGTCTTTTATTTAAAACAATTAAAGTGTCAGGATCAAGATAAGTACCATTTAAATATACACACAAAGTTTGGTAGTAAGCAAGTTTGGTTTGCCCAAGAAAAATATGTCAAAAAATAACCACCAGAGTCTCACTGTAATCCAGTTTTTGTATTACCTATGACAATAAGCAATATTCTAGGAATTTCAAGCTACACTTCAAGATACGTGTTACAGGATGTACTATTTTCAAAGTTCCACGTGCTATGTTATCGCCTAAAAACTTACACAAAAACACCATATTTAAGCGATTTTGGGCACCTCATCACTACGAACGAAACGAAACGAAAACCTTTTATGCTTAAACAGGACAGTTTATAAAAAGAGAAAGTATACAAATTGAAACAGAGTGACTTACTTAATTTTTTGTTTCAGGTATTGCTCGTATCGAGTAGTCTGTCATCGGCCAAGGACATCGCGGAAAAATCAAAATTGTCACACCTTCTTGAGGGCAACGGCATCAAAGATGAGCCGTCGGACAAACCTGTCAAAAGGCAGATATTTGCTCCATCATCTGCAATTTTTTCACCCGCTCCTGCCGTCGTACCGGTTCCGGCGACCTTACCAGCTGCACCGCCAGTAGTACAAACTGCAGTCGCTCTGGATCCTAACCCAGTAGTTCTTCGTCAAGAAGTTCCAAGATTCATCACCAGAACCATCACACAGAATGTTCAAGTTCCAGTTCAAGTGCCTGTTCCTGTCCCTGTAGACAGACAGGTACCAGTGCCTGTGAGAGTAAATGTACCGGTAGCCGTCGATAGGCCTGTACCAGTGCCTGTGTATCACCGAGTGCCAGTGGAGGTCACGAGGCATGTGCCAGTGTATTACGAGAGGAGAGTGCCATACCCGGTTAGAGTGCCTGTTTCTGTGCCAGTGCCTTATCCTGTGACAGTGGAGCGTCACGTGCCTGTGGATCGGCCGGTGTATGTGGAAAGACCTGTGGCGGTGCCGCAGCCTGTGTATGTTGATCGACCTGTAAATATACCTGTTCCTGTTCAAGTGGACCGGCCTGTACCTGTACCGCAGCCGTTGCTAGTAGATCGGCCAGTTCCAGTGCCTCAGCCTGTACCTGCAGTACCTGCGGTGCCTGCGATACCGGCAGTGCCAGCGTCTGGTTTTGGCTTGTCTGGAGTTTTTATCCGTTAATGTCTACCCCGTTTCGAGTGTTTGTGAGGTTCTACGTTCTACCGATGCCATTTGTTACATACTAGATAAGTTGTATTATTGAGCAATTTTTGTATCACGTTTGACAAATAAAATATTGTGACGTGTTTGAAAGTTTAATTTAGCCTCTTGTTTACATACAAGGCGGGTAATTACAAAACTCAATAGGTACTCGATGCCTTGGACAGTCTGCAGCGTGGCGTCTCAAGAATTGTCGGGGATTCGGGGGAAAGGTCTCACCCTACCTTGAACCTCTACAATGGCTAAGAGATGAATCGCTTAGCGTCTTTTATCAAATGTACTATAGCGAGTTCTCTGAGGTATTATTCAACCATATCTTGCCTTCCCCTTTCCTCTTCCGAAGCCCGCGTGCTGGCCTTCGTAGTTACAGTGTGAGTTGAGCCAAAGAGTGAACATTTATATTCTGTAGTATGTGCCACACAACACAAGATTTTTTACTATTCGTTCTTTTTTTTCTGGTTTCGCAGATTGACAATTTTAACAAGTTCAAAGACAAAGTAAACGAAAAACTGATTTAAAAAAAAATTATTCGTTATATGACTTCTCTCTTTTCTTCTACAAAATCGTAAGTTACGCTAAACATAGATATCGTTGTCCCTCTGTTTCTTATCTCTAGTCAGTTCCTTAGTACCGTGGATTTAACTTTCAGTCTATCCAAGATAAGTTTATAATAATATATCTGTAGCTATATTTATCTAATGCATTGTATGCTAGTGTGTAGTGCATCTTGTTTTGCCAATTGTGTGTATTCAAGGCAATAATATTCTGTTCTGTCTCTTTGTATGTACATGAACGCTCTGTTTTATCTAATTAAACTCTGCGATTAATTCTGTATCATGCGTTTATCAAAATAAAAGATTAAAGGTGTGTAAAAAATTTACTTCATTGTTGTAATATAATCTTTAAGAGAACTTTTTAATTTGACTACATTGATAACAAGCTAATGCCAATGGGAGTTTTATATAAAATTTTATAAAAATTTAAAAATTATTTAAATTAACACAAATAGGCATGTACGGTACCAGAATAAACACCAAAAATAAGTCGTTTTGATAGCAAATTTTTAGAAGGCCTGTACAAGTATGTGGACAGAGTCTTGAATCGCACTTAATCTACTGATAATATTAGTCATATACAGAAACGCAAGCACTTTCAATTAAAGCTAGAAGTTACGGAATTGTCAAGGTATTTTGCCAATTCGGTAGAGACTGATTTATTTTTCACGTTATTTGGAAATGTGAGGTGGCAGCTCATTAATGACCATCATATAATATTTTTATGAGATATCGCTAAAGTTTTTCTGGAAAATTAGTGGGTAATAATTATAAAAAATGGTTTTTAGAAAATAATACACCTCTTCTTAGGATTCATGGGTGATCCGAGCGGACAGTGCCAAGCACGGGCGAAGTCTTCACTGTTCTGCAGCGCACCTTTGGCGCGGAACTGCTGCGGGGAATGCTCATCACCTAGATCAGACTGCAGTGACTCTTTTGTTGATATTCCGCACCAGAGCTAGAGGTAGAAGTTACAATTACGATTTTACGATGTGATGTAATATAGGAATTCAATACTATCGATTGAAATTAACTTAAATATATCGGTATCTAAGGATGTTTGAAGAAGTTCACAATTAAAGGACTCACATTGCCGTACGATAGGAAGAACAGTTGTTCTGCAGAGAAGTGTTCGAACCCGGGCAGTTTAGGCTCTGGGCTTGACTTGTGCAAATGCCTCTTTAATGCAGTCAGCGCTTCCCTCAAGCCTCCATTGTCAGCTATATTTTCTCCTAGAGTCTTTCTTCCGTCTACCTGTTTTACATTACACAAATAAGGGGTCGCTCTCCAAAATAATTACGTACACAATTATAATTATTATTAGTATACTGCAGTACTGTTGTAGTAATTATTTCGGCACGTAAACGTTAAAGATACAAAAATAAATGTACATACGTATTCATCTAACTCAGGCACGTAGAACTTAGAGTATTGATCGACGAAGCATTGCGTCATATTTACGAAGGACTCGATGGTTTCATTCGTCCACCAAGGGAGCAGGTTGCCGTTTTTATCGAACTGACGACCTGCAAATTTCATGACAAAATTCTTATTCCACTTGTATCATCTGCTTCAGTGACTACGGTCCATGAAAGTTACGGTATAAAAATGGAATATCAGGAAAAAAAACGAAAATATCCTTTAATAAAAAACCTATAACTCAATATTGCTTACCAAAGTTATCAAAGCCATGTGTGATCTCGTGTCCGAGAACTGTTCCTAGTGAACCGTAATTAAGGGAGCTGCAAATAAATATTAGATATTTAAAACGGTTTTTTGTGGTACTACTTACTTTTTAATATCGATTAAAGATTGTGAAGTGTACTTACTCAAGTCCCAAATCGAAAAATGGATATTGTAACATCACTAAAGGTACAGCTGCGTCCAGGAATTCAAATAACATGCGTAAGACGTAATATGAAACTTGAGAGAACTTACGGAATTACTAACCCTAATCACTTACTTATTGTATTTTCTTGAAAAGTATGGTAAGCGTTAACTTCAGTAGGATCAGTAGCCCACGTGAAGTTATTATTTTCTCGAAATTTGTTCAACACCTTCTTCACTTTGACTTGTATAATATTTATCATGTTCTCCAAGTGTTTTTCCGGGTCTATTTCGACTCCTTCGTAATAAGATTCTAGTCTTCCCTCTTCGAGGAGCCAGTCGGGGAAGCCAATGAGTGTCTTCATGTTGACAATTTTCTGATAGGTGGCAATTTTGGTATCGTCATCCATCCATCTCGCTTTGCTGACAAGTTGCGCAAGAGCCTTTTTCATTTCCCATAGCATGTCTTGTATCTGAAAGGAAATGTTTAACAATAGTCAAGTTTAGAACGGTAACCTGATAGAAATAATAAGAATGCAAAAAGGGGTGGGTAAGCATCTCGTCATCATCATTGGTTTCTTTTGACGTATGAACCTTGGGCTTAGTGACGTTGTAGAAATGTGGATCAGCAATAGCGTATGCAACAGCGAGGCCGAGCATGTCGTTGACTGCGCTGGCGCACTGAAGACTGCGAGGCGGGGTAGATGTATACCCACGGTGGCGAATCTCGTCGTGCGACCGGTGGAACAATGTACGTAACTCTATTGTTGTATGGGATGCCATCACTTCTACGACCTGTGGTTTAAAGACAATCAGAGTAAATTCAAAAATCTTCCATATGGCAAGAGTATATAAAATCGAAAAGCTCGAACGACAATTTTGTCTTAATTATATTCAGGTGTTATGTATATAAGTGGAAAATCCTGACCAATGTGAAAAAGTAAACAAAATTAATCGGTAGATATTGGATTACCGTTACTGTTGCGTCTTAATACCTCAACGTAAAACAAATTAGGACTTATGAACAAATTACAACGGAACAAAATTCATTATAGTATTTACCTTTATCCAAATATAAAGTTCAATTACAACAGGCGGACTTCTCGCCACGTACGATGCCATCAAAGACATGTACCTTAGATCGCTTGCTGATACAAGAATCTTATCATTTTCAAAGTCAAGTTCAATTTTGCTAATGTTGAACACTCCTTCTAAATACCTCTTCCATATGGGACTGGCGGTATTATTATTAGATTCGACAATTTCATCAGTGTGTGCTTGGAGTTCATCGACTGTATACTCCGGTATATTTAGATAGAGTTCTTCTTTATTTGTATCCGTTTCGTTATCTGACTCCAACTGCGTATAATGTAAAGATAAATTAAATTAACTCTCGGCCATATTGCCAATTGATTTGCTCTAACGTTTTATACAAAAAAAAAGCTACCAAAAGTAGCGATGAGCTTAAGTTCATTAACTGCTTAGTGTTTAATTTATTAACAATTTTGTAATCTATGTTCTTATACTCAAAGCCAGTCCATCGATAGAAAATAAATAATTTCAACAGTTACCTATTTTAATCATAGGTACTTTTAACTGTAGCAGTTAGCTCAGCATTAAATTAATAACCCTTTCGTATGTAAGTAAATTTAACCCTGTACTAAAATATTTTCGAATAAATCATAGTTAGTGTTTACAATATTATATAGCTTTACAAATTAGTGTGTCTGAAGGCGCATCACGTTATCACTTATTCATTATTTAAAAAGCCTACGTTAGTTTGAACCAATAACAGCATTTACAGATACATTAAACGACTTAAAATATCAAACCTATAATCTGGTACAATTTACACCACAGTTACATTACCATAAATCCACACTCATTTGTCATTGACTTAATGAGAGCCTAACTGTCCTAGGTGACCTGATTGGGGTTCAATCATGAATCACATATGTACACGTATGTTTCCAAGATATTAAGAACTATAAATAATGTTCAGTAATAAATGGTAACTAACTAGTTCAGAAATTACAACTTAAAGTGTATCATGCTGGAATGATATTATCATAGCTTAGAAAACTGACAGAGGTTGGTGGAAACAATCGGTTTCTGTTCTTTTCTGTTCGTTTCTCACATTTTTTTCGATATTATTGTCTGTTGAAAAAACTAACTTTGCTTGGGATGCAAATTGGCACGTAAAGATTTCTAGGATTGCCTGATAATAATTTGCGGTCAAATTATATATTTGCATTTTTTTAAATATGGCCACCATTAAAGACGTATTTTAATTTTTTAAAGCAAAATTTCAAGGCCATAGCGTTCACTCGCCACCGTTCGTAGGTAGCATGTGGAGGCTCTATTACGAGTACAAGATCTCACAATTGTTAAAATGCAAAACACATTTTGCGATGTACCCGAAATAAGATACTTATAGCGTTATTGTATCTCGACCGTCTCTGTTATATTCCTTTTTTCTTGGAAGCTATGCCAAAAAGATCAGAAATATTTTCGGAAAAATATACATATACGTATAATAATAATGCCAGTCAATCACACCAATTTTCTGGTCTCAAGCTTGGGAATTTCCTGTATTATGAGTACCAGAATAACGATAACTCTGTGGCAATTCCCAAAAACCCAAACTGGAACCAATTTAAAAATGTTTGTTTCATAAATTCGCCCAAATTGAGAATCGAACCCGGAACCTCCTCATCAAGCGCCCATAATACTAATCGCTGTGCCACCGAAGAGCAGAAGCACTCCTCGTAATCTGAACCCGAGCACCGAGCTTGTTGTCTAATAATTGCTTATTATACACGAGTATTAATGATTTAAAAAAGGCATTTGAAGACGAAGACAAACACTCATAACAAAGAGGTGATACATGTTGTTACATTTTAGGAAGTGGATTAAATTGCTTAGAAGTAAACATACTTTTCCGACTAAAAGAACAAAAGCAGTGGCGCAATTTCAGCTAAACCAGCACACATGTTAAGTATGTATAAAAAATTCATAACTTTGACTGGCCGTGGTGATCGATTGCGGGAATTAGGACATCAGATAGACACTAATGGGTTTTATTACTTAGCCATCTAGTTATTGTGACATAGTGCGGTTGACACGAATTTGTTTGACACACGATGGATATACAATTTGTAGAGGTCTGTTAATATATGTATATTATTACAAAAATGTTATGCTCTGTTTGATGCGTTTGGCCAAGAGTATCGTCCACGAAACTGCTAGAATAAAACTTTGTCTACTATCGACATCTTAAGTTTGATGAAACAATTTTTTCTTTTGATATAAATCGCGTATGTTTAATTTTTCCAAGCCTGTAAAGAGCCCGAAACATTGGTTTGTTTAAAAAAACAAATAAACGCGCATAGATCTGAAAAAATACACGTTCCTTTCTACTATATTTACTACTGATCAATAAAGAAAATTAAGAATAAATCTATACGATCAAAAATGCCAAATCGAGTAATTCCCAAATCGTATCTAAAAATCTCGTGAATTAGAGAACTGTAAAACTTTGGAGATATCAACATAGATTTAGTACATGGGTTTAAACTATGTTTATCAATAATAAAAGCTACTCACGTCATAAAGGTCATTATTAAAGTCAAAATATTCATTGGCTGCGAGAAATATATGTTGATCCAGTTCAATCTCAGTCAAACTGGTATCTTTTGCCGCCCCAGAATCAATAACAAACAGTTTTATCACTTCAGCATACAATAGTTTATACGCTTGTGCCGCTTTGTCTTCACTCTTTGCTTTGGACTCGAACAAATCATCATTGTTAAATGGTATTGTTTCATCTTGGTAGTGCTTTGGTATACGTGGACTTTGATTGATATTTTTTTGATAATTGTGTCGTTTCTTATCGTGACGTATACTGGAAATAAAAGGGTGCTATTTACTTTTACAATAAGGCGCAATTATCGAAGGCTCCAAGCCCCTGCCATATATATATATATATATATATATGGTAACTATATTCATGTTTCATACTTAACTAAACCATGTTCTATTCTTCAAAGCATTAAACAGAAAAAAGACATCTCAATACCGGATTACTATTTATTTTACTATTGGGCTCTCACAGCCTCCTTTTACTACTTTGTCAACAGCGTCTTTACATATCGGCGCTGTAGGCGACCGTTTATCAGTAAGATTGGCTACTAAGAATATACGATAGGGCGAGCAACCACAGACCACATAAATACTCGAGCAACTATAGCTCTGGTGGAAAACAATTGCTATCGCTGTAGCCGAAACTGGCTAGAAAGCTATCACTTATCGCTATCAGCATTAATTGATACCCCGAAATACAATGAAGGTTGCTTTAATGACACATAGTTAGTGGCCTAAATCATCTAAAAAAATTGTTTCATGACGACATGTCTGTTTTTAGAAAGTCTTTCACAATTAACGAAATTTTAACTCATTACATCAATTTAGTAGTTCATTTAACTCCTTGTGTTGCCAATAATACGTGCCATCAACGTATATTCATTTGTGTATTTAGTCTGTATTTTCGTTTCCGTAATAATGGTAGTGTAAGAAAGGTGGGATTTTTTCAATTCTTTCCAAAGTTACGATTTGCCAAACTATCGCCCACCTTACTCACGTTTAGGATAAATAAACATATACAGCATTATTACTTTTTTAAGTTTCCGAACATAACATTTTACTAATAAACTCATATAATAATATATCTTATGTTATAGATACCTGGGAAAAGGATTGGTGGTCTCCGGAGACCCCATGACCAATTTGTATACTGAAGAGTTCTTAGGGTCCGTAAATATATCGAACCCAATCAAGACATCCATGCCCATTTTGGTCTTGATCTTGATCACTGTGTCCACCCAGTCAAAACTGTATGACGAGTAGTCAAAATCTTCGGTGGCGTTGATGAAGGTCGGGTATAGAGGCAACCCTAGGGAGTCGAGAATTTGAAGGACTGGTTTTAAACCACGTTTGTCTATTGTATCTGAAATATATTCATAAAAATGAAAAAAAAAAATACGATGAGTGGTTTAAAATCACTTATTGGTCTGTATCGTTCAGGAGGTGTTGGATTCTATTGACGGTAAAACTTAAAGGAGAGGTGCGTTTTTCAGTAGAGGTGTATCAAGATAGCGCTCACTCAAATTTTGGTCTGGTACCACAATACAGAATTCTCGCACTGTGTCAAACCTTTTACGTTGGCCACGCGCCTTTTTCAAAGATATTGTTTAGGCTATAGTCCAAAACGCTCGCCCGATGCGAGTTGGAATGATAAATACGACCCTTTAGACACACGCCAGAAAGGGCTCATAATGCGACGGTGACAAGTCATTCGCTCAATGCACCAACTATCAATGGTGTAACATTACTCTTAGTTCGAATACAGAAATTACTAACCAGTATCCATACAAGAGTCGTACATGATCTTGGCTTGCTGCACAGGCTTGTGGTGGCTGGTGATGTTCTTCGCGAGGAAATCGCGCACCATCGTGTACACCTTGGTTTGCTTGTCTCTGAACCAATCGTAGGAGCGGTAAGCGTCGGGGCGCGGATGGTCTTCGGCCCAGTTGCCGCACACGTACTGGATAAACAGAGATGATGATTAAGCTGTTTTCAGCTTGTTTATAATGGATTCCCTATACTTGTTGTAGAATCGCCTAAAGTCAGTTAGTCAGTTAGTAAAATCTTTTTGTTTGAGGAGTGTTTTAACCGATGACAAAAGTGACTAGCTAAATTAAGTATAAGTCAGCTGTAAACACGGGACTCTTAAAGGTCCTGAAACATTGGTTTGTTTGATAAAACAAATATACGCGATTTAGATCCGAAGAAAATAGTTTAATTTCTTTTTTTAAAGATGTTTTTCTTTTTTTGAAAGATTTAGATCCTAAGAAAATAGTTTCATTTCGATGCGAAATCCAAAAAACTCGACACCGAAAATTTAATAGACTATATTAGGTAGATTACTTGGTAGAAGTCATCGCAGGGGTCAGCAGTAGGGTCCATGGATAATGCAAGGTTGGCTGCGGAGCGCAAGCATTCTCGCGATTCGCAAAGTTTCATGGGCTTATGCCGTTTCTGCTTCACATCTAGAAAACAATTTAAGTATATTTTAGGTTGGAAAAACATCGACCCTCAAAGTAGAATAAGCAGTTTAAAAATGGAGGGAGTTATCAATACCAATTTTCGTGAAAGTCGGCGGGTAAGTGATGAAGACAAATATCACAAGTCATAAAAACAATAAATCTTGCTTTAAAATAAAAATAGTTGTAGTTTTCATAACTTACATAGAACCGTCATCGCAATAGCGAAGCTTAACAGGATTAAAAATAACACGAATAATATCACCGTTAGCATTTTGTTTTTGTGTTTTCTTCTAAATCTGGAAACAAATTAATTTTATTTCAAATAGCTGCCTATGTTAAAGCTGACTTTATTTTAACGATGTGCTGCGGATTCTTGTAAAAACTAATATTATTGTATCGACAACAAGTAGCTCTTTTGAAAGCCAAAGTAAGTTTTCTAATGCGCAAGTAAACAATAATCCAATAGAGAGAGAGACATAAAGACTTGAGAATGTATGAAAAAATTATAAATAAGGCACCTGGCAGTTCTGGAGCCGACAGCTATTAAATAACCTGACTCCCGAAGGTCGTTTCCGTTCTTGAGAGGAGGAGTCGTCGGTTTGCCACTGCCAGTTCCTGAATGATCACAATAAGAACTATCAATAAAGTAGACTGACATGCGTATTACTCATGATTGATCTAAATAGAACATAGGTTGTGCTTGAAGTTTTTTGTATGTTAATGCACATACAAAGAAGCTTCAAATATTTTTGAACAAATTTTGTGAAATGGTTAAAATACTGCATAAAATTAATGACTGCTTGTTCAGTTTTTGATTGCTTTACAAGTTATGATAACTAGTAACAAGAAATAAACCCTCATGGTGGGATTTTGGGGTTTGTATCATGGTTTATATTTTATGAAAATTAAATCCCTGTCTATTTGAAATTTGGCATGGTTCAAATTGTCCGCTCGCAATTATCCTAAGAATATTAGAAACATTATAGTTGTTTATTTAGGTGTGCATGCTCCATCCCGACTTCATCATCTAAACTAAACTAAAGTGAGTGGGGTCAATTTGAGTGCGGTCAAAAATAAATCGAAATAAACAGTAACTGAAATTGTTATGCTTATTTTATAATAAACATAACAATAATATAATATAGTAATAAATTTCTTATGAAAATATGGTAACCGTAGACGTTCCTAACGTATAAGGTTCAAAATATTTGCATATTCTTTGATGTGTGATTATTATTAGAATTGTAAGTAATGTACAAGTTCTTCACTTGGTCGGTTTTTTATTTTTATGGGGCAGTAGGTACCTACGGCTATTGGCGAAGGTTGTGTACATACTCAGACTTGTGTTGCTTATGTTTGCGAGACTGTTGGCAACATTCTCGTAAAACTTTAATTTATACTATTCATGACCTTCAGTAGTGTTTTCTTTGTTTTCGTATTGTATGTGTATGTTTAATTGCACGGTGGTGTTAAATTGTTCTTCCTTTTGCACAGTTTTAACCAATGATTACTTTCTACTCATTTGTTTTTCGTGATTGTCTTTCGTTTTCTACCCACTGAAGTGGAATCCATAGCAGGCGTACTCTGTCTTTTTTAATTGTGTTCGTTCGCGAGTGCTTTGCTTCTTGTTTTATTTTTCTTATATTCTATAACTGGACTCATTAAGATTAGCTTATTTGCTTCGGTCACTGTGCAATTTTTTTGTTGGTCTTTTTTTCTATAACGTCGTATTAGAAGCTTTGGAAACCTTCCCTGATTTGTTATTTCTGAAGATCTTTCTAAATTCAATGGACTATTTCATTTCTATAATACTTTGCAGATTCCTCTGCATTTTTGTATTTATATATTAGACTTGGTTTGGTTAAATTAAAATTATTTAATGCAATTCAAAAGGGTTGAATTAAATAATTTCAATTTGCGAAGTTGTTGTTTTTTGCATCATTTCCATAAAGGAAAAGGCAAAGGTTTAAAACCATACAGCTAAGTCTTGGTGAACATGTCTTACAATTCGTGACGTTTGCTAGAAGTAATGGCACATTGAGGATTGATGGATTTTTACTTTATGAGCTCAAGAACTAGACTTCTTTGGTGCTTCATTTTATTATTAATTTCAATAAGGTTCCAATAATTTGAATTAGTGTTGCTTTTACAGCATTTTTACATCGCATGCACAGCCATAGCCCAAGTTTTAGTCAAGGCCTTTACAATACATTTTGCATAATTCTAACGCCGCCGCCGTTCAGTGGAGCAAAAACGGTAAAAGAAAGGAAATTCAAGTTGGTGTGTTAAATTTTATTACATTTAGTATTTACTAAAGTATACTACGGTCACGGACGTATGATCATATCCAAAAAAAAGAAAAAAAAGAAAAAATATTAATTCATTTCCCAAAGTGGTCCTACCGGGAATTGAACCGGGGACCTACTCATCAGGCGCCCACAGTGCAAACCGTTAAGCTAACACAAGTTTAATCCTTATTATATTTTTGTTTGAGAAGATCTGCAATTGGCTCTCCGTTGTTATTATTATTATTCAACGCTTAAAACTTTAAGCTGTTAGATTTCCTATTAGATAAATAAATAACGATAATTGAACATTGGGCCTATAGTTTAACCAGCCTACAGTTTACATATATAAATATGTAATATATAAATATGTAAGTTATGCTATGCTAATACATATACATATATTATAGCTTACAAAGGGATTGACATTGAAATTGTCAGGGCATATTTCATTTTGCAACTGATTTTCTGTCCATTGCATGCTTACGTGTGTGTATTACAGTATTATTCGCTATTAGAATTAAATGAGTATATGACTTTATATGAGACGTAGTGTAAAATTTAAATATAGGCATAGAATGCACGTGTACTGTAGATAATGTATATGGGTATGCCAGAGTTATGCACAATAATTTTAGTTGCTTGTTTTTTATGGATGGTTCAAATAATTTAGTTTTCAGAGTGTTTCTTCCACTATTTCTTTTCATAACGTAACGATACTAGGGGATGTAAATTAAAATTTTGACAAAAATGAATTATTTACTTCACAACATGGAACACAGAATTCGTAGTCGAACTATATAAATTTTCCTTCAAAATTGTAACTATCGTCCATTGGCGCTCAAGAGTTGATAGGTCAAAATTTCATCTTAACAAACAACACTTGTGCTTCATTATCAGATCGATCGACACTTAGCGGTGATTCTTATTTCAAGTCTAATATTTTAAGAATTTTTGAAAACATATATTAAGTCTATAAGGAATTAATTGTGTTTATTACAGAATAAACACAAAGAAGTATTCCTTATATCCGATGTATATAGATACCTACCAAAGTGAAAACATTGATACCTTATATTGGACTGGATTCGAAACACCTGCACCAGACTTGCTACCTAACCTTCGAACATCGGAACGTACACATCGTAATGCTCACATTACTGATTGGCTGCGAAAATACGTAGTTGAGGGCTAAATGCTAAAGGCTTTCGTCGTCCTCCGGTCCCTCCAGTTGCTTACGAATTCCGGTACATATCTGGACAATAGGGAGGGTGCTGTGTGTGCACCCAGAGGCGCTCACCCAAGATTCGGATGAAGTGTGTGTTTAATGGGCTGATCTGCGGTCAAGACCTGACTGATAAGGGCAGGTTTGCTTGATTGCACCGGTAATGGTGTCCTTCTCGTATAACCAAAAGGTTGGTTAAGAAGGACCGTATAACCAAAAGTTAGTAGAAAATATGGGACTGTTGTACCAAACTAAACACGTGATAAAAAAATCAATATTTTTCCTTTCTCTTTTCTATTGAATTTCTTTTAGTTTTTACTGTAACAGAAGGTACACGGTATTGCGGCCACACTTCCGTCTTTAGTAACAGCAGAGCTCCTTGTAAAAGAGTTAGTCCAGGGAAGTTCTGCCACTTTACCTTATCTATTTCTGCCGCTAACTGTAATGTGAGCATTACTGCGTTTCGGCTTTGAAGGGTAAGAGTGCTGGTGATATTACAGGTCCATGGGACTTGCTAACTTATATCGACAGGCGCAGTGGCACTGCCTCTAAAATCTTTGTGATTTAAAGCTCTGAGTGGCACTGCAACTGTTGCGGACAGTGTCGCTTACCACTAGGCGCACATCTTGTTCGTTCCGTCACTTGGTATTATAAAAAAAAGGCAGATTTTTTTTTAACATCGATTGCATTTTTTGCTTCCGTGATGTTATCTGTTATACGTTTTCAAACTTTTTTTTCTGTACTCTTAGCTACTCTACTTACGGATAACCGAAGGCCCCATGATGTCCGCTCCGCCAGTTTCGCCGGACCACGCATGCATTTTAAAGCTTATCCCAAACTTAACTTAGGAACTTAATACAAACTTTATCTACTTTGCTATCACGCTTTACTTTACTACTAGAAAATTGTTAACTAGTTTTTTAAAGTTTAGTTTCTTCAGTTTAATCATTCTGAAATAGTTTATCATTTCGAAAAACATCAAATAATATCTTTATTTTTTAATAGTAAAATTTGAATTTAAAATTAAATCAGTTTTTTTTAATATAAACTATCGCAAAGTTGATAACATAGGTATTTGGAGAAAATTACAATGTTTTCACTTTGGTAGCTTCACAGTCACTGAAAGCTTTGGTGAGCTACTGAAAATTATCTTCATAATTTATGAAGTGACCATGTCTAGTGAAAGCCACGGGATATTTGTTTTGCCGTCGCGCCGGTCATTTGTAGCAAATCAATCAATATAGTGCGATACGATGTTTACTAAAGTAGTCGACGAAAATAATAAAAAAATATGAAATTTTATTATTAAATACATTCATACCTGTGGTAGCCCATTAGAACCGCTGTTTCTCTATTTTTTTTTCATAACATTAAGTGACGGGATGAACAAGTCGGGGGCCTGGTGGGAAGCGATACGCCTGTTCATAACAGTAGCAGTGCCATCAGAGCTTTAAATCGTAAAGATCTTAGGGGAACTGCCATTGCGCCCGACACCCTAAGACAAATTGACAAGTACCATGAGCCTGTAATTCCACCACCCCACGCACCCTTGGCGGTAGAAATAGGCAATTCACAAGGAGCTCTACTGCTACCAAAACTTGCCTTTATTAAGGACATCGTAGATTGAGATGTACGCTGAAGTCGACCTCTATACTCGTTTCCATTCTAGTTTATTACATATTGGAATAAACTAGAATGGAAACAGAATTCTTAAGGAATCTTCATAATGGAAACATTTTTTTAAGTTGTTTGATTGTACCGTTTCTCTGCGGTCAAATGCGAATGAGGACTTTATATTTCTTTGAATAGTGTAAGTTTTCAAATATTTTTTAATTACTTTTATAGTGGTCTTCCGTTCATCTGACGTGTGATCACCCTAATGCATGTCCGATTCACAGATAGCGCGGTAAACGCGGCATATGTCACGCGATGGCTAGTGATGTGCCCTCGGCTACCATATCGATTATACATTCGTCGAGCCCTTTCAAGCGCAGTACTAAGCTCTGCATCCATTTGTATAGCTGGCCTCTAGTGACTTAAAAAATGCTGTAACTCTCACTGCTGGATCCGTTCACGGATCCCTCTCAAAAGTAAAAATCGTTAGTTTACCTGTGACAGTGGTGACGTGACATTAAAAGAATGGTTATAACTAGTTTTAATAACAGATTATACCTCGTCTTAATAACACTCAGAGTGCTTTATTTAGAAGTATTTCAATAAGCATTGGGCGGGTTTGAATTTCTCGGAGCAATAGATACGTATGACACAAGTTTTACTTCAAAATCGAATTCGACTTAAACCATCTTTATTTCATAGCAAAGTAAGTAAGCAAATTACATATCAAATCGTCATATTAATTAAACTCTGTAGCTCATTCGTAAGGCAGATTCAAGAAGAAGATTGAAGAATGAGCAAGAAACTCTAGGGGTTCCTCTTTGTAAATACACATTTGAATACATTTATCTTTTACAACGTTTATTTCAAACATCTTAGATAGAGAATACCTGCAAGAGCTGAATGCATCACTACCACGGATTTTTGCCATCCAAGTACGCTTATAACGTTTAGAATAAAATTTTTGTTTCGCTATAGTTTTAAACATCGCGAATGGCAAATTTTGAATATCATCCGGAATCTTGTTGTAGAAGTGTATACATTGCCACTTAAATGAATTTGTGGCTTTGTGAAGACGATGATGGAGAGCAGCTAGTTTTAGTATTATTTATTTATTACAGAATAAGTTAAAATGTACAGTTACCGTACAATAAAGGCTTAAATACTAGAAACTAAAAGTAGGATTAAATTATATAATCCGGCCGGGTCGAAGGATTTTTTCTAAGTATTCGATCTTTGCATTAATAGTTATAACCAATATTATTATTAATGTATTTTTAATTTTTGTAACAAACCTACTTTATGTAATAGACGGCCTTAAGCCAGATTGTTCACTTTTAGTTCTCTAAGAATCCGCTAGATGGCATTGACCCATTGGCGTTATTTCTGAATCGCGGTGTTAAGATTTTCCCTCGAATGGCGACTACTTGAACACAATTGTGTTAATGTGAAGAGAAATCAGAGAATACAGAGAGCTCAGTAAGGCACCAGGAGTAGAGTCCCTTTTTGGGAACTGCTCCCCGGATCTTCTGATATTTCGTACGCTCATATATGGTGAAAAAACTAGACATGGGGAATAGCATTACATTTCTATCGCCGTGACTGTCGTTCCGGTTCTAAAAAAATCACAGTGATAAATCATCGTGATTTTGTCACGACTGTTACTTCCGTGACCTTGTCATGCCTATAACTTACATCACGATATACGGTTTTAGCCAGCGGCTTCTTTCTAATACTTATAGCCGTTTTTTATAGAATGATTTAAGTTTTTGCTCCCTTTGTAATAAGTTTCAATTCCATTCAAAAAGTTGATTTTGTATTTAATGTAATTTTGTTTTTACTTATTTAATGAGAATCTTTGGATTGTAAAAATAGCAATGAAATGTAATGTAATTATATTTCTAGTAGAATACACAAAGCAGATTATACATAAATAGAAAATACCAACTCTTCCTATAATAAAACAAATATACAAAAATATTTTACTTTGTTCATAAATAGGTTTATAATAACTGCCGCAGATTTTTTTCACCCGCCCTTTCTAGTAGTTATAAGCACCTACGACACTTGTGAGTGAGCAAAGAAAGTGATCACGTCACCACGGAACGGAGAGATCGCGCATTGCATCAAATACGTATGTCGTGATGTGAGTGATGGGGACAGCTATTGGAACGGAGGAACACCTATGTGACTTTGGAACGTCGTGCCTTCGCAACGAGTCACGGTGATACTGTTTGACGGCGGATCATCGTGATTTTTTCATCGTGACGTTATTTATCACCCACCTTTAGAAAAAACCTCATCTCGCGGAACGGTTTCCAGGAGTGAGTCGCTTCTTGGGAACAACTGCCCGGGCCTTCCGCATATAGGGTGAAATTGTATTGGCGACATACAAGGTGAAAATAAAAATTTTTTGAACCACTTCGAGTTTCACTTGGCTTGTTTTGGTAACCTCATCCAACTGACGAAAGAATCTCCCTCCTTTACATTTTATAATTTTTATTTTTGCTTGACGATCTCAATATAATTTCTTGTATTGTGACATGTTAGTGCAATTTGTTCTGTGTATTATATTAGAGAAATAAGTAATCTATCATTAATTCTTATTAATTTGTGGGGCGTACGAAAGGAACCTCCCCACAATGACGTACGAATCGTATGCTTCGTATATTATACCGAATCGTATATGTTACGCCGATTGGTAAATCCTTTTACCGCAATGGTAAACATATCCCATTCACAGTTCAGCATGGCGGCTACTTGTGGCGTGATCAGCGTGGCTAAGTTTTGGGCCACGATGATATCGTGTGTGCCATCGATACGATATCATTAATAAGAAATACATACGGCTCGTTCGTTCAATTTCCCGGATCTTGACCGAGTTCTGTCCCGTCTGTCGGTCCACACATGACGTGACAACATGTTGACGATGGTCGATACGCCTGCATGTTTAATGACACCATCGATCTTCGCTGACCCATAAAACTCAATAACTTTTTGTTGACGAAGGAACGTTATTTTTCGGTGACGTGTTGTTGCCTCACTATATACTTAGGAAAACACTTCGTCAGCAGAGAACCCTTAGAGGTGTTTAGTTTCATTATCATGGCTCATGTGCAAATAATTTTATAGTTCCATGACAGTAAAATATTTGCTGTACTTGAACTAAACAGCGTTGTCGGTACTGACTTTTTGAAACAAAATGTATAAAACATTTACGCTTTTACCTTTTATGTATTACATTGAAACATAATACTATTAAGCAGGTAACACACGGTCTTATTATCTATGATTTTCGATTGCTGCGCCCCTTGTTTGCCGCGTCACAGCAGTCCCAGTGTTATAATCATGTTATAATAAACTCAAAGAAATTAAAACCTTCTTTACCACTTTATGTTTACTTCATCCATGAACCTTAATATTACATATCTATTTATGTGTGTCAACAATTACAGGGGTCGCTTCAGGTCATTTCGAATATAGGCTCTGATAACATCCGCAAAGTTCTTATCAACTGCGAAGCCGAGATCTAGCGCGCGAGAGTTATCGAACTTCGCAGGAAAAGACGCCACCATATTGCTGATCAGTTCAACTGGCTCAAAGCTGACCAGCGCAGCCACCTTCTCACCAGCTACCACTTTCAATGCTTGTAACATTTCATGGACTGAAACGCGGAATCCGGGAAGGTTAACTGCTCTCCAGGGGCCTAAAGCGTCATCAGGAAGCGTCGCTGCGTATACAATATTTTTCACAACAACTTCTGGACTTGTCAACCACAATTTCTGCTCTGGAGGTACGGGACATACGGACCGTTCACCGTTTAACGGTTCCCGAATAATCCCACTGGCAAATGACGTCACTGCGCGATTGGCAGCACCAGCTCTCACACTCACAGTTGGGAGTCTTACAATTCTTCCATCAACAAATCCTTTTCGAGAGCAATCATTTATGAGAAGCTCGCTCATCGCTTTTGCAGTTCCATAAGAATTCTGTGGAGTTACAGCTGTCAGGTCATTGATGACTTCAGGCAGATTTCCTCCAAAAACACCAACGGTACTGGTAAACACGAAGATTAGCGAAGGATTTGTACGGCGTGCTTCGTCTAAAAGAGATCTTGTAGCGTCAAAGTTCACTCTTAAACCAAGATCAAAGTCAGCTTCGGCATGTCCACTGACAATTGCAGCTAGATGAAACATCACAGCAACATTTTTGGTGATTAACTGTTCCGCAGAACCGGGGGCGCTTAACTCTAGAGCGAAACTAGAGACACGAGGATCGTTGCGTTTTGGAGGTGCTTGAATATCCACTAGTACCAATTCAGTGACCGTTATCGGAGATTGATCACTAAGGAGATAGTCTGCTACTCTGCTACCAAGAAAGCCAGAGGCTCCTGTTACAACCACTTTCATTTCCACTCTTTTTTAAACTAGTTTCAATTCGTGTGATCTATACTAAGTATCTCAGAGTAGTGTTATCTCGCAACCGAGTCGGAGGAGAGATACGGTTTGTGTAAATGTAATTGCATAATTGTAGTTTATTTCTAGAGTGGCAGTGACAACGTTAGTTTATGGATTATATGCTACTGATAATTATATTTTGTTTTCCCTCTGTTTCGCTTCTTGAACAAATACCGTTATAAATAGTTATTATAATTATGGATGTAGGGTGCTATTTAGTTACAAAACATCGGAAGTTTCAGCACTACCGTTGTTGTAACGTAGATTATGACGTTTTGATGGTTAATTTTACGTTTTCAGTTTTGATGGTTGTTGAAATATAATGAAAGAAAACACTGCGAAGAAACTTGTTTGTCGGTATAGATCTAGTTTTTCAGTAGTTTCTAGTTTAGTTATTCATTTGTGTAACCCGTAATGTACCGAGCACAACAGAGTCATTTTAACATTTATGTTACGTGTTATTTGAGTGTCATGAGTTCTGTTTTCATAAAAAATCTTTGGCATTAATAATCCGTACTTTTGGTATGATAAAGCCACAAGTGACCATACGTCAAAGGTACATATATTATGTACCTATTGTCTTGTTTCATGTTCACATATCAAAAGTGTCTAGGGATCAAGGTATTTTTTAAAATATTTGATTACCCCTTTAAAATTAAATAAAGATATCTATATAAATTTATTCAATTATTAAATTATTTTATCTACACACATATCATAAACTCTATAATGTGTTCAAAAATCGCAAATTACGACCAGCATTAGGGTAAATTGTTTTGTTAGAACAAATTTCTTATCTGTTATTATTATCCCGATATTATTATGACATTCAAAATTCGAACATCTCTGATAAACAAAACACTTTGATTGGACCTCAATTCTAATATCAGTCGAGATGAAGTTTTATTCGAAATGATATGTCAATAGCAAACAATTTTGACAATTTCACACGTCACTTGATATCGAACGATATGATAGTTGGGGCCGATTCTAGTTTGTCTATGAATTAAAAATAAAAACTACGGTTGCGGTATGCGTGAGAAAAGTTTTTATTTGCCGCCATTTCGCCAGTGGTAACACGCGGTTCCTGAATACGTCACAGAGAGCTTATAATATGTGTTAAATATATGATAAAGCAGTGTATGTAACTGTACATAATTAGGCATTAAAACACTCGTGAGATGTTTTTATGAAACTCGCTTGTCGGCTCGTTTCATAAACTCGCACTTTCATTATGTAACAGTCACATAAACTACTATGTATATTTATAAAATTAACCAAAAAAAAACCAACGATGTTAAAAAATTATTTAAAAAACCTGATTTTCACCTGAGTAATTGGCAAAAACGTTCTTGATGGCTAGACACTTTTTTTTATAACAACATATGTACCTACATGTGAAATTCATATATCACCTAATCAAGCTTAAAAAAAATTATTGACTAATTTAGTTCCTAGAATCTTTAAATCTCTCTTCTTAAATGTTGTAATTTTTTAATATTTTTATTCATCAACTATTACTAATGTGATTAATAATAGAAAAAAATATTAATTTCACAAATTGCATGTGCAAATTTACAAATTTATAACAAGTTTATAACCTTAAATTCAGCACTGAGCTTCGTCAATAGGTACTAAAATACAAAACTGAGATTTGCAAGAAATGTTTTCAAAAATGTGATTAGTTAATTTGGGAAATAGAAAAACAAGATTTAAATTAGTCGCTACTGTATGTACACTTAATTGTAATGTGTCACTTTTAAATTTTTTTATTTGAACGTTATCCGGAACACGTATGGTACAATTTTAAATAAAGAATTCTGACAGAATGTATTACTTCAGTAGTGTGTGATCCGTACTTGAGTTTTACTTGAGCATATAAAAAAATTAACGTTATGTTTGAACTTATAAAAATGACTATTTTTTCCTATTTTAGTACCTAAAATTAATGTATAAATTTATGAATGGAATAAAGTTTTTATGTTTTAGATTTTACTCTATTCATAGCATTTCTCAGGTCTTGTTTCACGTTTGGATCAGATTAATAAGGCATAAAGTATTCCCGGACTGCAGAGACCAAATTCCGACGCTTGTTTGAAGTAAAAAAATAATACACAGAGGCATAGAATTTTCATTTACCGTTTCAATAATTCACTCTTCGCATTTGAAGAATGCTATTGACTATGTTCTGATAAATTATTGTGTATATTATTAAGACTTAGGAGAAAATCAGGTGAATTTAGATGTAGGGACTTTGGGAACCAGTGAGATGACGTAAAGACAACTAAAGCTAAGAGAGTCCTACAGTTCTTTAGTTCTGTTGGTCTTGACTTTACAATTACAATAGGTCAATCATTGGTTACTAATAGTGAAAATTGGGCTCTGTACGAGTCTTTCTTTCACCAGACGGGGCGCGGGGCGTCAAAACCGTCAAGCGCGCATTAGCGAACATGCCCGATGCGCTGCATAAGTGCAGGACGTGCGAAAGCGCAACGAATACTTTATTAATACGGACACGCAGAGCACTGCACGATTTTTGGGTATATTTAAACTACAGATCTGCGGAGTAGTAGTAGAGCTTCTTGTGAAAGAGATCGTCCAGAAAAGTACTGCCACTTTATCTAATTTTGCTGCCGGGCGTGGTTGTCGCCATACTCGGTAGCGAGGAGCCCTGGGAGGCGGTGGCCTCCTTTTGCGGAGAAGTTATGTCGCAAAAGGAGGCTGCGGAGCGGGTGCGCGAGGACGCGGCGGACGCGCACCCGCTTCGGCGCAGACGTACGGGGAGAAGGCGAAGGCAGTTCGCTGCTCGCCTGATCCCCTAGTGAGGCCAGCGGGCTCTGGACAGGGACTCCGGAGCCTGCATTGCACGGCCTCACTCGTCTGGGGGGCGGGTCGGAGGACAACTGACCTGCCACTCCTGGTGAATGTGCACCGACCCGAATGTAAACCCGGGGGGGTTTTAGTGGGGTCACGAAAACGACACGAGCAGAAGGTTGTTAAATTAAGGATTATTTCTTGTTTTAATTACTGTCTCTTGTTTACTGTTACTTGTTTTAATCTAGGCTCTCCGGCAACTTTGATACATATTGTCATAGTATGACTTTAAGTATTAATAATAAGGTTTCTTTTAATATACCAATTCTGTAGGATTTACGCCCATTTTGACTCATAATTCTTTTACGTGAAAATCTCAAGATTATCAATGGCTTTTGAAGTTGAACTGTGTTTCATCGTTTTGGATTGTACTCGATTAATGAAATACGAAACTACTTAGTAACTTATTTACAGATTTATAAATATTCATTTACTTGATTCTGCGTATGTAGATACAATTCTATTTAAACGTAACCTACAGCACATTAACGGCGTAGTCAAAACATAAATATGGTCATAATTACCGTTGGTAAACTAATTCCATAAATTTAACCGCTCTGGTGCTGTGTGGCGAGACATATGTACATACAGGTGCATCAATGTGCACATATGAGAACAAATTTAATAAATTTTGCTAAAAAATAGGCTACTGCACATTTTGCAATCTCCCATTCTGTCCTCGGAAATAAAAAATTCGCTAGCACCAAATTCAAAATCAAAACTGGCAAACGAAATTAATTTTGTAGGTTTTACTTACAAAAAGTTATTTTTAATCGACTTCATTTTTGAAGGAGAAGGTTTTCTCAATTCGACTGTACTTTTTTGTGTTATGTTACGTGATTACTGAGGCATTTGTGAACTAATTTTGAGGATTCTTTTTTTGTTGGAAAGAGGGTTGATCCCATTTAAATTTGAAGAAGATATTCCACCTCTAAGGGTGGCAAACTTGGGGATGGATCTGGTTTCGCGCACATTCCTTAACTTGGCAAATGAGTGTTATTCCAATAAAAAAGCCGATACGCAAAAATAGGATGTTTGTTTATAGCATCAAGTGACGGAACGAACTAGTTGTGCGCCTGATGGTAAGCTGCACGCCTGTCCATAACAGTTACAGTGCCACTCAGAGCTTTAAATTGCAAAGATCTGACGGGCAGTACCAGTCACACTGAGACATAAGTTGACAAGTCCCATGTGCCTGTAATTTCACCAGCACCCTTATCCTTCAAAACCGGAACACAGTAATGGTGACATTACTGCTTGGCGGCAGAAATAGGTAAGGTGGCAATACTTACCCTGGGCGAACTCTGTCACAAGAAGCTGTACTGCTGTTAAAATGCATTAACATTAGACATAACTGGTTGAAGACTGTACCACCTCAGTCAACCGTGACCATGGGACCTGTAAAGGGCCTGAAACGCTGGTTTGTTTGAAAAAAAACAAATATACGTGAGCTAAATCCGGAAAAATAGTTTGCTTACATTTGTAATTATTTTCTTGTGTGATCGGAAAATCGAATGCAAATGGTGCAATTATAAAATGTGGTGAAGCCGTTTTACTTTTGCTCTTTGGAGGCATCGCAAGTGGCACTCTGCCCCCCATGGCCCTGCGTGCGATTGCGCCACACAAGAGTGGAGCCAACTAACTTTATCTCCGTCTTTGTGTAGTATATGTTGGGTGTGATATGAGTGTTACTGTTGAGCATCGTCTTATATGTGTAATTAAAGCTAGATGGCTATACATGGAATGGTAAGGGAAAGCTGTAATTCATAACAAACCCCACGTTCCTATCTACCAGTCTAGCCCTAACCATATACAATACCAAAAAATAAATAAAATAAAAATAATTTATTTCAGACAATGTAGTCCTTACAAGTTAGTAAGTTAGTAACATGACACCTTATAACTATGTTAGTATTAGGATTAGTACTCAATCATAAGAATAATACCTAATAATTAGTTACAAATATAACTAATGTAACAAACAGGACGAACCCAGCCACCCAGGTGGTCCACTGACTCTCACGTAGAACATGCAACTCAGTGAACCTCCGGAACACAGCTGCATCCATCCTGTCTGCTATCATCTTCAGGATCTCGTTGCTGCTACCCCTCACCCTTCGTACTAACGAAGTGGACATTTTGCGCATGATGGCATAGAAATCATCCATGCCAGCTCCCGCGAAAATGCCAGATGCGCTACAGAAACAGGGAAGCTTCAACAAGGCCCTGAAGGTATTATTATACTGGACTCGCAAGGCGCCGTACGATCTCAGCGTAAAGTTGGACCATAGAGCATATGTGTAGAAGCTTTGGCAGTATGCTCTAAAGAGTGTGAGCTTCACTCCTGTCGTACACCTTGTGAATCTATGATCCAACATGTTGCCTCGAGCCGACAACGCCCTGCGCTCCCTCTCTATGTCTCCCTCATCCTTTAGGTCCTCTGTCACAATATGACCCAAGTACCTAAACTGTGCAACACGCCTCAAAGGTACCCCATTTAAAAGTATTGGTTGTACATAGGCTGGTTCTTTAATTGTACAATGCGACCTAATGTAACAGAGGGAAGGTGGGAAGGATAAGAGGTGCAAGAAGTGGATTTTCTCACTACCAGACTCACAGACTCACAAGACTGATCTGATAGGCTGAAGGTTAAAAGGTGTCTTGGCTGCAGTGAGAGGATGCTGTAGTCTGTACAGTTTCGACGTCAATGAGACAGCGTTGAGGTCTGGATGCGAAGAGACCGTTATTTAGACTATTTATACAAACTCTATGTACATGTGTGTGTATATTACAATAGTTTTTTAAAATGTAAACTAAATGAAACATCTACTCAGCAGTCTATCTTGCACATTGCAATTCCGTCAGTGCACTGCTGTCTATTATCGTCATGTTGCAAATTTATGTCCGGTCAGGTCGTCTGGTCATGTCACGTGAACGTGAGCACCATTTTTTATGTATTCAATTTTTTAATTGTAAATATTTCGACAAATATTTTCGGAATTTCTCTGGCTGTTCTTGCAGACATAGTTATTGCAAATGACTGTACTGAATCGAGTTTAAGACGACTCGATTGATAATTCCTATTCGGTATAAAAGGTGGAACTTGGGAGTTTAATTGGCCATACTACATTCTTACGCGTGTGGTGACAGATCAATATGCGATTCCTTGTGAGTACTTAAACGTGAAATTGTCAGAAAATTCTCCAAAATTAATACTAATTTTAAACTTTATATCCACAGGAGATACTTGTAAACTTGTCTATGTAATACTGTTATCAGTATTACACTCACGTTTTTCTAAAATTGTCTTATTTTATTTATTTTTATTCTGAACAACAACACCTAAAAATAACAATTTACAATGGATAATTTTAGTTAAAGCTAGCTAGCGCCAGTCGCAGTTGTCCACGTTCTCATTTTCAAATAACTAAATTATCTAAATGAGACTGTTAAACTCTTTTTAAGTTTTTTTTAATAATACGTCTACATTTTTATTAATGTGGTTAAGAGTTAAGAGTACGTCAACTTTATTTACACTTAGGATTTAAATTCAACCGTATGACAATTACTATAAGAATGGTCCAAAGTCCTGCCTTAACATGGTCTTGACTGTGTAATAAGGCGTTATACCAGTGTGGGCTTATGAGAGCAGTTTAAGAATTATATTTTCATACAAATGAATTGAATAAATGTGATGGCTGTAATTAGAAACTTCGAACAGGTCAGGTAATAGTCAATTTAAATTGTATTCAATCATTGTAATACAGAGTCAGTTATACCAGGCTCTACTAAAATAGCTAGCTCTGTCCGTATATCTAGACTGAGGATCATCATCATGCCATTTTTATCACTAAGAGACTTATCACAAGAAGTTCAAATTCAAAATTATAAAATACATCTTTATTTACCGGGTAAGCAAATTGCACTCGAAACAGTCACATTGAATAAACTCTACTACTCATGCATAAGGCAGATTCCTCTGACAAGAATGAATAAGAAACTCTAGGGGTTGCTCTTTGTAAATGTACATTTGTTCACGTTTATCATTTACCTACAATATTTATTCAAATATCATAGAATAGAACGGGTCACTTTTGTTATCCACGTATAGAACCTATATTCTGTGTCAAGGCTCAGTAGAGCTCCTTGTAAAAGAGTTCGTCCAGGGAAGTACTGCCATTTTACCTGTTTCTGCCGCCAAGCAGTAATGTGAGCATTACTGCTTTACGGTTTTAAAGGGTAAGGGTGCTGGTGAAATTACAGGCACATAGGACTTGTCAACTTATGTCTCAGGGTACCGGGCGCAGTGGTAGTACCCCTCAGATCTTTGCGATTTAATGCTCTGAGTGGCACTGCAACTGCTGTGGACAGGCGTGTCTCTTACCATCAGGCATACGACGCGATTGTCCCGTCACTTGGTATTATAACCACACCGTACTTAAGATCCCTTGTGATACATGTGGAAACTTTAAAGTTAATTGTTTCGTTTATTTTGGTGACGACTATGTAACGGTCGATTATTGTCGTAGGTTTATTGAATTTATTGAAAAATATTTAACTTTAAATAATTTCAAAATAACACCACAAACTAGCTGAAGTGGAATTCTTCAAACCCGAGTATCTAACATCTAAAAGAGGCCATAATTCGGTTTGAAATACGATAATCTTCAAATACTCCTTGAAAGGGACAAATATGCGAAAGAAATGTGTCGCACCAAACCAATGAATAAAGGTCGTAATTCAACTTGTAACTAGTCATCTTGAACTATTTTCTAAAGGAGCCCATATTATGGGCATAAAAAGTGCTGGGTCATGCCAAACTGGACTACAGCAATAGCCACAATTGAAATATCGTTGCCTAAAATATTTCCGCTTTTTCAGGTTGTATTAGCAATCGTCTCCCTTGCGGTGGCCAAGCCCGCCCCTGGCATAGTATCACCATGGGGAGCGCCTGCCTACTCCTCCGTGGGAGTATACCATCAGCCGGCAGTCGCCGTGGCCCAGCCCGTGGTGCATGCGGCACCCGTGGCCGTCGCCAGACCGATCGCCGCCGCTACTAGCTATGCCTCGTTCCAACAGGTAGGCCTTCGTTTTATAATGAGGTTAAGCCGGGTTTTCAATATACTACGTACGCTCGGACCCAGCCCACTCGGATTTGGACTATATTGTACCGAATATATTCGGATCATTTTATGAAAATAAAATGGCGCCAACTAAGAAAAACTGGAATCAACATGACACTAAAGGGTTTTGAATGTATTTTTATCTTTCTCTTCCACTGCACGAATAAAAATATTTGAAGTAGGTACTCAGTTGTGTGACGATGTGACCTCCTTACATCGTCTTTCACCTCTTTGTACCGCTTCTCTCCTCTTGTATCTTATAATTTTTTTTTATTTTACTTGTATTTAAATTTTAAATTTGAATTGTTCCATCTTCCTTCACTTTCTCATTTTGTTTTCGTACCGCGGTCACTCCCAGCTCGACCGCCACAACAGTCAGAGCTGTTAATTAGCTAATCATGTGTAATAATTTATAAGTCTACACCCTTCATGTATCTATTTCTGTAACTCAGTTTCTCGGCCCATTTAGGGGTAAGTGCCTTAATAATAAAGTGTAGGGAGTGTTTTATACTGTTATACCCGTTTTTTTACATTTACCTTTATATTGTTACAGCCTTTCTTAAAACTTTACTTCTTTAATAAATTTTGTGGACCGGAAGTTTCCCATTTCATTGCCGTGAACTTGTTCACGGCTAGTTAGGGTTACAACCCTTTCAGTTGTACTTCTTAAAATCCATTCTTTGGTCCAAATTTTTCTCTAGCTCTGTTTTTTCCCTTCCATGATTTTGTACTTCAGCCATTAACATATCTGCTACAACTCTTATACCTCGCAAAAGAAGATCAGTCGTCATCATCTTGATTGTGCAAGGAGACAAATGCTACTTGGACGCTGATGAAATCGTAAAGTGTAAACCAAAATCCGAGTGGACTCCTGTACGATCTAACTTGTACGAGCGCATTCGGTACAAGAGTACTAATTAGTGTAAACCCAGCTTTATTCAAGATTTCATTGAAACTCTTTATTTCGATTAGACGAAGTATATGTTGTATTTGCTTATAAGTTGCGGTAGTAAAACGAATACTTTCTTTAAGAAATTTGTCATGAGTATATCAAATAGGTATATGTAGCGGAACTAGTCTAGTAGGAGAACAATTGCTTCGAATTTGGTAGGTCTAATCTATTTAGTCTATTTAGTACCTAGCAAAACCTCCCGGCGTCATGGTGTGAAGCCTGCACGTCGAAAAAGGGTCACAAACCTTTTAAAACGTGTAGCCTAAACACTCCTTAGAGGAGACCCGTGCCCCCACTGGGCACTGGATGATGACAATGAAGATAGCCAAAAATACACTCACTAGACTCCACTAGAATTTGCTACAATTATAATCTAATTAAAAAACCTTGATTTCTCTCCAGGTCGTCAATCCAGTGCATGTAGCCCAACCAGTGGTCCAAGCAGTAGCACATGCGCCAGTGGTCCACGCAGCCCCAGTGGTCCAACAAGTTTACCATTCTTCCCCAGTGGTACAGACATACGCGCAGCCTGTGGTCTCAGCCTACGGTCATGGGTGGTAAACAGTATACCCGACAACATGACACTTGAATTCAACGATGTTATTATGATTAAAGGTTTTAAGTTAAGTTGGTAGAAAGTACAGTGAGCAGTTAGGTCAAGTCCGTTTTGTCACCGGTTATAATAAATTATTTATTTATTCATACTTATTGTTTTATTCTTTATATAAGTAGATATGTACCACTTATTTTTTATGTCAAGGGACACAGAGAGAAAGGGCTCTAAATATTGTAGAAAGAATATTTTGTTTCATGGATAAATTGTATTATTTTTAAAAGAAAGTAATACTGCGAAGACTTGTAAAAAGTTGCTTGCCTAATCAGGGAATCGAACCGACTAAATGTAAAAAAATCCTGTATTTTTACGATGCCTATCGAAAGGGTCAATTATAAGGATTAATTCCCTATAAATAATGTAGTATCTTAATCTAAAGGAACGCCGTGAAATTTTACATGTATTTAAATGACCATTTTAAATTTGCAAAAGCAACAGGCAAAAATATGAAAGGTCATCTTTACGAAAGGTTTTTAATGTTTGATCATTTTTCTATGAGATATAAAATAAATTAAATATATATATGAAATGGCAGACAAAAACTTCTCAACAAGAGAGAGACGAACGTCTCAACAGTGTGCTGCAACTACCTTGTGTTTGGGCTCATATGATTCGAAGAAGACTTCCGTATCCGTTTCAGTTACCATTGAGGAGACCACGGTAACGAACACAGATGGTTTTTTTTAATAAAAACGGTATAATCATTACAACAATATCTAGGGATCAGAAACTCGATTCAGAACTCTTCGATATTTTAACCGCATCGTTCGATTGAATATCGTTCTAGAATCGAAAGGTCTTTCCAAGTTATTCAGCGTTTACGGATTTGGTTGGTGAAATAGATTATAAGAAAAATGGAAATTTATATACACATTTTTAACACTTAACAGGCCTACAATAGGAATGCAATAGTCTTGCATTAAAATAAATTAATAAAACTAAAGAAAATCCAGACATATTTAAAATAATAAGAGATTTCCATATTACCTTCTTGCTTTGTAAACAATAGGACGTTCGGTAACTTTCATTCGATGACTGTGTTCTGGGGCCTTAGTTCAAATACGTTAGGTTCAAATACGTAAATTTAACTGTCGCATTTGCGTTGAGATTTTAATTTAAACTTTATTGACATATAATTAAGATCTAAATAAAAAAAATTAATGCAAACGCGGTAGTTAAGTTTGAATGATTACAAATTTACGCTCAGGCCTCTGAATAACGTTTGTAGCCATTGCTGGTCGAGAAGTTCGAGTAATTGTACGGGTGTGACGTCATTTCAGTTCGGTTTCGATTACGATAATTTGACGTTCAATTTGGGTGTTGTGAACATTGACTTACAATTATATGGACGTCGGGTCCGCGCTAAAAAGTGTCCGCACTTGTAAGGCGCTAAAATCGTATACAGAGCGCGACACTCCGCTTTAGTCTTCATTTGTTCTACGGACAGCGCGATACTGCGATGACATAACAATTTAAATTTCGAATAGGATGACTTGGGACATTTTTTTCGTGGTTTTTGTATTAGACCCGTCGTCCATTTATTTGTAAGTCAATGGTTGTGAATAATAATAACGCACGAATAAAAATGAAAAGAAATCGTACGGTGTCAAATCGAATGGTCGATAACTGAGTTATCGTATGGCTCTGAATCGACCACCAGGTGAAACAGAATACGCGGCAAAGTTCACATTACTCGAAGAGATCTGCGTTAAATGCGCGCACGCAGCGACGTGGTCACGTTGCGTTGAGCAATTAGCTACTATTGTTGCAGCAGTTGTTTTGTTAATATGGTAGCAAGTATGCGATTTATTGTGGGCCAGTGGAACGAGGATCAAAGGTTGCAACCTGTTATATCGCGTAACAAGAAACGGATGAGTACCAGTGGAGCTCCTTGAGAAAGAGCTCATCCAGGGAAGTACTGCCACCTTAATAATATGAGCATTAATGCGTTCCGGTTTTGAAGGGTAAGGATCTTAGTGAAATTACAGGCGCAAGAGATTTGTCAACTTATGTCTCAGGGTGACGGGCGCAGTGTCAGCGTTCTCCAGATCTTTGCAATTTAAAGTTTTGAGTGGCACTGCATCTGTTACGGACAGGTGTGTCACTTACTACCAGCTGCACGACTTGTCCGTCCCGTCACATGGTATTATAAAAAAGTGCTGAAGTACTGAACGTAAATCCAAATTTTGTAAGCCCTATGTCCCATGTGGGTTGGAAGTTACGGTCCATTGAATTGTTGAACATCGTCAAGTAACATTTTTGCTGCAAAAGTAACATTTTACGAGTTCATTTTTTGAATTAAAAATTGTAATTGTAAAAGATACGTATTATTGATTCTAAAAATAAAAAAAAAGTATAAATTCATTCAAGAAAAATCAAGCTATAACCAATATTAGTTGATTTCGTCTTGTTTACGCCATCTCTGTGTTACTTTTTTTCTAATTTGGGTGCGATGGTGAATTATTCAGGATTTACAATAACATGTATAATGTTTAGTTGAATTTAAAAATCTTAATATCCGTCATGTCTTACGAAAATTGCCCCTTAGAAATAATAGTTACTTACACATTACGCGAGAAGGTCGAAAGTTGCGAAAAATATAAGAAATGTGACCGTCTGGTCATACTGCCCGGGACATATGAGTCAAGAGTTAACAACTTCATGACAACAACACAGTTTTTGAAATTAAATAAGTACAAATAAAAAAGTTAACCGAATTGAATCATGTCTTCTAATATAATTCACCTCACGTCCTGTTTCCTAGAAAGCGGTCACACACGTCGGGAACTCTTGCGCAACACATACCTATATGCGTTACCTAACACTCGCCCAGGAATGTGCTAGAGTAATAAAACAAATTAGGTGAAAGTGGTCTAGACTTCAGGCAAATACGCAAGTTTAGAATTTTATTAATACAAATACCTGTTTACTAAGATCGAAGACTTAGAAAAAATTCCTTTTATCCGGCTGGATTCGGACCAACGTCTTCTTGCAAACCGTGCCAGACTCTATGCCAACTAAGCCACGGAACGAACTAGTGGAGCTTAGAAATGTGTGCTTGTTGCAGACCTTTGTTTTGGTATTTTTAATGACCTTTTTTGCGGTAGCGCCTTCTGTAAGAAATCTATTTCTGAAACAATTTTTTCTAAGTCTTCAATCTTTGTATTAATAATTATATCAAAGTAGTGAAGTAATTTCACTAAAAATATTGAATATAGAATAGAATAGAAACATACTGATATTTAGTAAAATAAATTACAAATACCTGACTGGTATATTATAAGTGACATTTAGAAATTTTCAGGACAATATATTCTCAGTTTGACGTCTTGAGCTGCAGCTCCTGTGATTCTAGTTCTAGCAACGGCTTCTTTTCGTGTCTAAAATGGTAGACGTATACAAGGATTCGTGGAGAAAGACCGCTTTTAAAAGTTAAGTATGATAGTTACGTCTAACGTGGTCTAACTTAGTTATCTACAACAAACATTGCACACGACTTACCTAGTTTGGGCTAAGCTCTATGCTCGATCATTTACCTATATTTTGTTCTTGTTGAGAAATAATAAAGATTTTATTAATATTATTATTATGTCAGACAAATCACTTCGTGAACAAGGAGGCGGTAACGTACTGATAAAAATAGTTATATAATATAGAGCAGTGAAGAAACTTCACGCGTGTTTTTTCTAACAATTCTTACTTATCAATTTGTCAGGTTTTCTCGATTTCTGCTCATTGAACATTAACTATTCGGGTCTAAATTGCGTGTATTTGTTTTTTCAACAAACCAAAGTTTCGAAGGCTTTACAGGTCCCATGTACACAGTTGACTCAGAATAATTCTTGCTTACATTCTGTACGATGAACAGAATTACGATATTTCGAAAATCCGCTAAATGACACATGCACTGTTGAGCCATTTATGAAATTTAAAATTGTGAGAGCTTTCGTGAAACCTTTATGCAGAAAGTTATACGGTTTCATGATTGATTTGATTGGTTGAATGGTCAGATAATCTTTTACTTCATAAAACTTTTTAACGACATTCTTGATTTTATTGGAGAACGTTCTACGTGATCATCCTCTTCCAATGTTATCTTCTACGTTGGCTCTATACTCTTTCACACTTTCATTCATCCATCCCGTGTGCCCAAACCACTTCGTCTTGATTATTGTAAGAGTGAACAAAGTGCCGGGACGAACAAGTCGAGCTTTAAATCTAAGCTCTGAGAGGTACTGCCACTGCACCCGTCACCCAGAGACATAAGACATAAGTCCCATGTACCAGTAATTTCACCAGCGTCTTTACCTTTCAAGATCGGAACGTAGTAATGCTCATATTACCGTTTGGCGGAAGAAATAGATAAGGTAAGTACTTGCCTGTATAAATTTTTTCACATGGAGCTCTACTGCTGATTGTAGGGGAATCTGCCTCACGAATTATATAAATCTATGTAATATACTTCACGATTTATTACAATCCAAAGCAAGCAAAGAATAAGATATAAAATAATTCTATTTTAGTTAGAAAAATCGTCATATAATAATTAAAACAAAAAAAAAAATTGTTTCATTTCACATTTTATTATAAAAAAATATCCGTGGGATAATCCTTAGTCGACAGCGGCGGAACAAACTAAGTTCAACGATAATAATAAAACTATGACTACAAGACTATATACAACAGTACAGGTACGTTCGTGGTTGAAGCCATTAATATGCATGTGTCTTTGTAGGAGATCATGTGAAGTTATTGTTTCAATACAATACAACGTATCTAACAGACGAACTTCAAAATTGCATTTACTTCTGCTGATCCATAATTCTGCTAATATTTCAATCGTCAGTGTGCGGTATTCTAATCTGGTACATACTTTTACAATATAGTCGAATAAAAAATTACGGGTGCCTTCAAATCAACCGCTTTTAAAAGCGCTGCAGTCATCAGAAACATCAAAAATGTCGGCGTCACATATTTTGAAATGAATTTTTATATACCGGCTTCTAATAGAATTATTGCACTTCGTCCCAAGTTCCCCAAACCATGACTTTATATTATAGAGACGAAGTTACGAGCCCTAATATGACACAGATTACACATGGCACTTACGCCTATTTATTTATTCTGATAACAAAGGAGATTAAAGACATAGCTCTTCCGTTAAGTGCATTGATAAGCTTGTTAAAATTCCATTACCATATTATCAATAAACATTTAAATCGTATGTTTGATTACTAAAGCCAAATAATGTATGTTATCTACTTTATCTATAAGATATTCCACGAGGAATTTGACGCTACATGTTGGCAAATTAATGCGAAGAATACAGATTGGTATTTGGTGTGGGCGATTTGAGTTTCAGCATGCCATTAGCCAAGTGAACATAATTTCTGGACCCACAAACTCTCAATAGCAATGTAAAGCATACGCTTGTTATATTCTAAATATATCTTACTAATCTACATCACATAAAATCCGTGTAGTAACAGTCATGTTATTTTGAAATGCCTCCAAATTTTACAAGTCGTTTGATTTAAACCGATCTCGTTTGTTAGAATAGGTGTGCACTCGCGTAGAAAAAACTATACCCATAATTTACCTCGCGAAATTTCAAACCGTATTTCCTTGATAAATACCCACCATACCTGTGGCATACCTGTGGAGAGCGAGCTTTTCAAAGACTTCCTAATTAGACAACGATTTATATCTTCCGAAGCTTCGGAGGGTTGGGAAAAGATCTCTTTCAGGCTAGATATAATTCCATTAAAAATCAACATCAAGCATGTAAGACTCCTTAGATCCTGCTCTAACAAACGACAGATAAAACATTCTCATCACCAGATCTTTCCATGGAGCGGTAACCCGTGTAGTCCATGCGAGTGAACATCATGCAGTAGCGGTGCAGCATAGTGCGCGTGGCTCACTGCAGGTATCGCTACTGGCTGTGGCACTGGTACGGCAACTGGTTTGTGTACCGCCACTGGGTACGGTTGCGGCACTGGGACACCCACCTAGAAGATATTTCAATGTGAACATTGTGTTTATGGGTGAACCAGAGATATGCAGCTTTGTGATCATAATCACTGTAGAAATAGTATTGGACTTTGGCGCTGCAGCAGGTCCATCGGCCTTTGATAGTTCATTATATACATAGTATAAGAATGCGATGACTTCGCATAGCCTACTGTACGTACAAATATTTTCTTAACATCTCTCGGTGCATCCGAATACAGGTTTCCATGTCTAGTGATCATTACATTTATTATCTATAGTAATTCGAATTAACAGAACTATGTATTTTATCGTAGTTTTGTTTTGATTCCCATCTGAATCATGTAGAGTCGATTGAATACGTTCGGCCTGCACCAAGTGCAACGGTCAACTGATAGAAATCCGACGACAGCCAAGACATGAAGATTGGGAAACGGTAATGAAGGAAGTAGTTGTATTGTATATGCACATTTCCTCTATTCTTCGTCCCTCTCTTGCTCACACAATTAGAGAGATTAAGTGTTGTGAATAAAAATCTCTAGACACTAAATACTAACCTGCTTAATGACTGGCACAGGGACGGCATGTGGCACCGGCACTGGCACAGGTCGGTCGACTGGCACTGCCACGGGCCGGTCCACCGCGACTGGATACGGCTTCGGCACTGGTACGGCGTACGGTCTGTCCACTGGAACCGCTACCGCTACCTGAAAAAAACAGGTTTATGATTAAACTTCTGCTTTAAAGTGTACAGATAAATCATTATTAAAACCGATTACATAAGAATGGACATATTTGAGCCAGTGTTTTGAGGCTGATTAAAAATTTTAACCTTTTATTTATTATTTCATGTTTTTCGGCCATGTACTTATTTTTGACAGGAAAGTGAGAAGACGTTAATATGTTTTGCATAGTGTGAAAAAGTACGAAAAACTAATAATAATAATAAAAATAATAAAACTGGTTTCTTTTCACAATGAGGAGATTTGGGCTGCAGTTGCCACGCGGGCTGAGGATTGGGAACTTCTTATGTATGCAGGTTTCCCCACAATGTTCTCCTTCACCGAAAAACTCAGAGGGGCAAGCCCGGATTCGGTAGGTCAAACCATTAGGTTGTCATGGCTGTGTGCGGAACAACTGTGGTAATGCAAAAATGTGCGCAATTGGGTCAATAGCATACCTTAACAGGGTAAGGCACGGGTCGATCAACCGCCACTGGGTAGGGAGCTGGTACTGGTACACCGATGTGTTTTGTCACTGTTGTGTGTACATCGGCTCCCACGATATGCCCAGCACTGTACGCCAGTCCGTGCCCCAGTCCATAGCCATGGCCCAGTCCGTAACCATGTCCCAGTCCGTAACCATGTCCCAGTCCGTAACCATGTCCCAGTCCGTAACCATGTCCCAGTCCGTAGCTGTGTCCCAGCAATGGTGCTCCGTAGTGACCGAGTAAACCGCTTCTCTTTTGGACGACTTTGCTTGGTTCTGCTAGAACTGCAGCTGTCACGAAGAGTATTGCCAGCTGTTAACAATTAAATTTACTTGTTATAGTGTTTTGTAAACGATAAAATATGTAAATACAGATGTAATGATACAAAATGAACATTTTACTCGTATCTTTTCCGTTTCTTATACATTTTTGTTAACCGAATTAAAAACAGGAGGAAGTTCTCAATTGGACTGTTTTTTGTGTGTATACTACGTGATTACTCCGAAATTCGTGAACCGATTTCGATGATTCTTTTCTTGTTAGAAAGCGGGTATCTCTGTATTGGTCCCATTTAAATTTAAGAAAATATTCCACCTCGAAGGGTGGCAAGGAAACCTATCACAAAGTCAAGAAAGTTTTTTGTCCGAAATAACGTTAGTTCGAATTTTCATTACACCGAAAACCAAATTATAACGAAACAGTTGTTCTTTCAGGATATGTTGAATGTTAATCGCAAAGACTCGATTAGGTTCTGTAAGGTTAGGTTAGGTTAGGTTTAAAAGAAAAAACACTTTCCTCTCAAAATTACTTTCGAGGTTATGAAGTTTCGACCAAACGGTATTTCTGGAAAATCGGACTACTGATAGGTAACCGGGTGCCAAACTAGAGGGTGATCTCTTTTTCGCGCACTTTCCGGTGGCCAATTTCCATAAAACTTGGCAATTTAAAAAAAAAATCACAAACTTTTGAGGTCTGTTTTTTATAAAAAATTACAATTGTTTGCAGCTTTGCAGCAGAAAAATGTATGATATTTATCATTATTTCTCTATACTCTATATGATCTTTAATGCGACAGTCAGACAGACAGACAGAGCATCCCTAAGTGTTATTTAATTTATTTCTTATAACCTGCAGATTTGTTATTGAGTACATTGACGAATTGAATTCTCTTGCCTCTATAGTCCGGGCACAAAGAATTGGCCGCTCGCTTGATACACGCATTATATGTAAGTTGTGCATTCAAAGTATCATATCAGTATGATGACTATGATGATGATTTAAAAAAAAGTTTTCTAAATAAAAACAATAATAATTTCAATCGTACATTGATCCTTTACAGTTGCGCAATTATTGTTTTGATTTTCGCCCATTGAATTAATTAAACCGATGGCACATGTTGCTCGCGTGCGCGGGCGCCGATTGCATCGCGCCATTAGTATGCAGCCGCTGCGTTTGAAATTTACGCGCACGCAACGCATCATAAGTAACTTGGATTTGGCGATTGCACTTTATCGATCTCACTTGCAATGACGGCGACGCTTAATTATGACATAAACGTTTCATTGCTAGTCACGGGGTAAAAATTATCAAGATATTTATTTTCTTTGATAATTATAATAATAGTTATCTGATAATTTTCCGATATTATAAGATTTTACTATTAAGTTACATTTTATAAAAAAATTATGAACGGTGAGAAAACTAAATAAATACGAAGAAAAATCTGTGAAAACGATTTGGTTTGTGACTTTTTTAAGACTTTTGGATATGTCTCTGACACAAAAACATTGTCACGACCTCGTTAGCGGTAGCAGTTTGTTGTTCCAATTAATTAACCGATTTCAAAAACAGGAGGAGGTTCTCAATTCGACCGTACCTTTTTTTGCATGTATGTTACGCGGCAAATTAGTCAACTGATTTTGAGGAATCTTTTTTTGTTGGAAAGCGGTAACGGTACTACGGTAACCTCTATGTGTATAGATGACAACCATCGACATCTGTCGATGATCATAACACACTAAGCGCGGGCGTAGACAGGCGCACGCCATATAAATACACGGAATTAGACCCGCCGCGTTCCGACCCGACCCGCGTCCGACCCGCACCCACTCTCTGTTTCACGCTTAAATATTCGATAATTCGGAATAATCTTACAAGATTTGTTAATCTGATATTTTTCGTTGAAAAACGTATAACAAAGCCGTCAAAATAAAAAGTAAAAGATATGAAATATCTTTGTGACAGCCCATCGATCAGTCTCGTTACGTCACAGTACAAATTTTTATCATGGCGTACGTAAGTTTCTGTTGCTGTTCTGTTCTGATGCGAACGGCAAAAGGTATGGCATACACTGTCGGCTTGTTTCCTCAAATATATAATTTAGGGCTGTGAAACCACAGCCACATGGGACTTACGTCCCTGGATAACAGGCGCAGTAGTAGTGCTCTCAGATCTTTGCGATTGAAAGCCCTTAGAGTGGTTACACACGGCGACCTTCAGCAGAGATGTAAACGCGCGTTTGTGAAACGCGTGATTGCATTGATACAAACGTGCGATTACTTCGATACAGTTGATTACGTTGAATATTATGTACGAAAAATCTGTACAGGTTTATGCACATTGTTTTGTTTTGTTAATTGTAAATTAAAAAATGAAATTAATAATACATTACAGTAGTTTATGTGACTGTTACATAATGAAAGGCATTCAAATACGAGTGTGAGTTCTCTCACGAGTGTTTTAATGCCTAATTATATACAGTTACATACACTGTTTTATCTACACACATATTATAAGCTCTCTGTGATGTGTTCAGGAACCGCATGTTACGACTGGCGAAATGGCGGCAAATAAAAACTTTTCTCGCGCATGGCACACAACCGTAGTTTTCATTTAATTCATAGACAAACTAGAATTGGCCCCAACTATCATATCGTTCGATATCAAGTAACGTGTGAAATTGTCAAAATTGTTTGCTATTGACATTTCATTTCGGACAAAACTTCATCTCGACTGATATTAGAATTGAGGTTGAATGAAATTCTTTTGTTTTCCAGAGATGTTCGAAATTTGAATATCATAATAAAATCGAATTCAGTGCTATTATCAGGCAATAAAAACATTTTCACAGATAAGAAATTTGTTCTAACAAAACAGTTTACCTTTATGCTGTTCGTAATTTGCGGTTTTTGAATACATTATAGAGAGATTATGAAATGTGTGTAGATAAAATAAATAAATTAGTTAATTAATATAAAATGTGTGTTGCGTTTGCATCGCTGCTAAATGACGCTGTATGCAATCGTTCTTAGTTGTACTGCAACTATTATAAGTAGGCATGTCACTTACCACCAGGCGCTAGAATGGTTAATCCCGTTGCCTTATACCACACCAAAAGACAAATAACAACAAGTGTCTTAGTGGGCAAGCGTGGGTCTACTTTACATAAAAATAAACAATGCACCTCTGCATGTCAAGCGTAGAGACGTAACGATGGAAGTACAGTGATGCATGGTACTATCTCCGATTAAATACGTTCGTTTTGCAAACAATAGGGATTTCAACCGTTCCTGTATCATTACACCGTTACCACACTGTCAGTACCGCTAATGAAGTGGTATTACACCACGTGGGTAATACCATTTACCATGTCTACCTCGTGGTAACCGTTTTACTGCATTTAGAGACGGGCAAGCGTCTGAGTTTAAACCCGTCGATTTAAATCGATTTAAAATCCGTTAACGCTCGAAATCGAAGGCAATAGCTATTTACAACGAAATATTTGCTGTAAACCAAGTTTTGTTTAAATTTATTATATTACGTAATAATGTTTATTGCTTTCTAATTTGTCTTTCAGTCGAATCGATTGAAAATCGCATCGAAACAAATCGATACAAAAAAATCGTTAGATCGCATACACTTGAATCGATCTCATCGTAATATGCGTCCTTAGTAGTGACAATCCACGGGTATTGTGTGGATTGCCTCTTTATCATCTAAAAATATTATTTGTAATTTGTAATAAGTATGGAATTATACCGAACTCCGTATTCGATGTTTCTGCCCACGATTTTGGGCAGAAATGGGTTAAACTTTGGGTAAAATCCCGGTTAAAACCAGAGGGCGTTGATTGGGTTTCCACTCACTATCTATCTCTGGCTGTATTATATAGAGCACAATGCGATATAACGCAAAAAAAGCGTAGCGGGTGGACATATACAGTGCACTGTGTTCAATTAATAATGCTGTAACAAATTCTCAAGAGGTTTATGTTTCTGGTTTGGCAGTATTGCTTTCTGTTTAAGTGCAGTAATTATGTAGAAAACAATGGTAATACCCCTGATTCTTTGCTTTTGTGGCTCTCACAGTGGTATATAGCATAGTTGCCTATACGAGTAAATATGTAGATACATAGTTACTTGTGGTATTTACGTAATATCGCAGCATTTCGGAGCTTTGACATTAATTTATAGAATTTTGGTTGAAATATATTAACTGATTTGAAATAAATTGTTTCCAACTGGTTATTGTGGTGGATTGGTACGCAAATATCAACTTTTCATTGTCCTGACTACAAAAATAAAGTTCTTGCAGTGAAATGAAGCTTTTCATGTTTTGATAAAAGAACTAATTAGAAAATAATATTGGTAACCCAGAGACAAAACTTGAGTTACATATAATTGAATTGTTTCATTAATAATAATAGATAAATAAATATGGGGGACACTCACATATTATATATTTTTTTATTAGACCACAACGACGAACAAGTCGTACGCCTGGTGTTAAGCGACACGCTTGTCCTTAACAGTTGCAGTGTCATTAGGAGCTTTAAATTATAAAGATCTGAGGCACTACCACTGCACCCGTCACCCGTTGACGTAAGTTGACAAGTCCTATGTGCCTGTAATTTCACCAGCACCCTTACCATTGAAAATCGGAACGCAGCAATGCTCACATTACCCCTTGGCGGCAGAAATAAAAAAGACCTCTACTGCTACTTAAAATCTGGTACCAAATAAAAAAAATCCTTGCATTGTGAGTATCAGAGTAACTATTAACACAGAGGTTCGACCGGGAATCAAAGCTGCGACCTCCTTATCCAGCAGCCATTGCTAGCCAATCAGTCACGGAGGCCGTGAACAGTTATTATAGAGACTAATGTTACAACTTTCTAAGACCATGCTCATCGGTGTGACGTATATGGATTTTGATTGATACTGTTTGTTATATAAAGTTAATAGTTAGTAAAGTGATCGATATTTTTAAAGGCATTAAGTATTCAAAACTAATGCAAAAATGCTGTGTTTACATTTGTTTATTTACGATGGAAGACAGCCTTCTACCGTTCAATTAGGTTAACAAAGAAATGATCATTTATTTTGCATTCACAGCGTTTACGAAAATTCCCATAAATAAGCATTTTTAATTTGTGAATTAATTATTATTATCTTACACCTCTAGTTATCAAAATTAGGTCACATAAAACACACACTTACTAGAGCTCTCATTATCACACACAGATACCAACTGACATAAAAATAACAGATACTTGTAACTATTAGAAGTATCAGTTACACCACACCAGTCTGAACGCCGGTTTACATGTGGGGCAGAAGGATTGAGATAGTTTCTTATATAAGGCGGGCCCCACTCAGGTGGACGCTATCGATGATATTTTGCGACATCGGACTTACAATGGTGGGCTTTATTTAGGTTTAACTACATCTTATAAGGGAATTTGAAATCTATACAAAATACATAGAAATAACTCTTTTTATCACGTAACTTAGGTAAATTAGAATAATTTTATATTCATTTATTTCGTGTATTTATTTCATTTTCCTTAATGGCGGCCACGCAGACAGCAGGCTCACTCAACTTCTTACAATAAACACTGATTTAGAACATCAGTTTTTTTTACAAATTTTTCATCCATTTACTTGGGTAGGCAAAGGTTCTACCGTACAGCCTCTCGCTATATTAGTATTTTTTCATTTTTTTGAATCTTTCACTTCCAGTTATAACCATTCAGAAAACAATCTATCTAAATATTAAACTATATCTAAAGAGGATTTAATATGTAAAAATAAAGTCCTTAATGTAAAAACTAATAAGAACTATTTATTCCTCATATCTTATTCTTCAATAATAAAGTAAATCAACATTTTACTTTTTTCAATGATCTGTTAAAAAAGGAGACATGAAACTATTTTGTTAATTTGCTCCTTAGACGATGGAAAAAAATAAATTCGGACTGAGGTCGAACATCCTCTAAGGGTCGAACAGTCATATGGAGGGAAAAGAAATAAAGATGGCGGCGTAAAGATACTCATTTGTAGCAATCACATATTATAAAAACGGAGTTGTTTTTTTGCCATTGTTAATATAACAGAGCTCAATTTAATCTCAAGATGAGGCTTAAAAACTACTAAAGGAGTCATGGAGATGAGCAGGTCAGTTTCCTGTAATCATTAATCTATTTGCTGAAGATCGCGATTCGGAGAGGCCCATGTTCAGCGTTGGACTGTGATAAGCTGATATAGTAGTCTGTTACAAAGCATTGTCCTTTCAAAGAGAAATTGCTAACAAATTCCATAAGTAATCTCGAAATAAATTTCCCAACCTCTCTTAAATATGTTTGCCGATGGCAGTTTAGTATCTTTGTTACCTTTATAACGTTCAAGTTATATTATAAACTTCGGTTATTTATGTCTATGGTTTGAATCGTGCTTAAGTTGGTGAGGTGATTGTTTCAACATTATTGAGCTTAGCCACTTGGGAAATATAGGAGATATAAATGTGCTTTGATCATTTTACATTGGCGTTCGTTATTGGTGACCGGTGTAGAAGTGGTGTATGTATATTTTAGATTTGGTTCCCAGTTCTCGCCTTGAATCTGTTTCAAATTATAATTAAAAAATATATGTGCTTATCGCAAACATACCATTCACAAGAATGGAAAGTTAAAATAAAACTCCACTTTTAAAACTTTTCATATTATTCGAAATTCATTGCACATTTCTTGCTAGGTCAATGACTGCACACATTGTTTTTTACGCGCCAAAATCACAAGAATGTAAATCACTTTTTTTTTAAATTTTCGTTTAATATCTGTGAAACGTTCAAAAACTAGATTTTTATTTTTACAACTGTAAAATGTTACTACTAAAATTGAATTAAACTCCAAATGTTACTTTATGATTTTTCAAGATCGCATTATCTTTATTTATGCTACTTATAATATTTTTGTCAATGTACGCATATAAACGTTACAACTTTCGTAGTTATTCATGAATGATCACTACTAGTCTTAACTAGTAGTATATATAGTCCTTAGACTATTACCACGGTGTGACTTTTTATTATTTTTCCGATATTTCGGAAACGCCATGCACACGGTTGGTTAACTAGGGATCACGTAATGTATAATGCACCTACGTACTAAAATAATTCGAGTCACAATTTTAAATGTTTTGACATTTTTTCGCGGGAAATAGTTATATATAAAGTCGATATTTATGTGTATTATAAATTTTATTTCTTGTATCTGAGGCCAATGATACTAGGACCATAGAGCCGAGTTCCATGTTATTCAAATATTGTTATCGAATACGCTTTTTTGTCTTTATTTTGACTATCTAGGTACATTTAGGACATACGAATTATAAAATATTTCATATTTATTTATTTACATTTCACACATATGGCACAGATTAATTGACTTACAAGTACACATATTGTGATACACTGTAAGAGCGTAGCAAAATTACGCTTATAATTTGATCATTACCTAAGTACATTCTTACATTAAATTTCATCTTAAATTAAACTATAATTTGAAAGTCTTAACAAAATTTTAGTAGCACAAGCTCCTTGCAAAAGAGTTCGTTCAGAGAAGTACTACCGCTTTACGTATTTCTGCCGCCAAACAGTAATGTCATCATTACAATGTTCCAATTTTAAAGGGTAAGGGTGCTGGTGAAATTATTAATTATAATGTAATAATAATAATTTTTTTTTCCATCCTCTAAGGTGAAATTACAGACCCATAGACTTGTCAACTTATGTCGTGTAACTCACGTCTTTGCGATTTATTGTGGCAGCCGTGTCGCTCAACACCAGGCCCACGATTTGTTTGTGCCGTAATTTGGTATAAAAAAATATAGGTACGTCTCGCTGATAACCGTTACTTAAATACTTATCTGCGGCAGTGTAAATGTAAAAACAAGATGTTGTTTCCAGTAAATTTTATAAAAAAATTAAACAGACGAGGTGCATTCAATTACTTTGATTGATTAATGTTAAAACAAACCATGGTAGCCTAGTGATTTGACCTACCGTCTCTCAAGCAGAGACCGTGGGTTCGAATAAGGGCTCGCGTCTGTGAGTTTCTTGGATTTTGAAATTTACCATGCGCTTTTCAGTGAAGTGAAACATCGTGAAGAAACCTACACGTCGAAGAAGGTATACACCTCGGCAAACGCATGAGTCCCCAACCCGAATTGGGCCAGAGTGGCGGGCTAAGGCCTAAGTCTTTTTAGCTCACAGCACACTTAAAAGTAATTGAAAACAGGTCTTTTTATATTAACTTAACACGAAAAATATCACAAAGAAAAGGATATACATATATAATATGTAGTGTAGTGTTTATATAGATAATTAAGGTTTTTTTTCAAATGCGTTAGCAACACCTGAACAGCAATAACGCTGGACCCCCTCAATCGCTTCCGAGGACCACCCTACTCAGGACTCTTCAGTGCCCATTGGGGGCCGCTTTGGGAAACAATGGTCTAAATCCTCGCCTGAGAGGAGACCCGTAACCAGCAGTGGAGGTATAAATGGGTCGTTGATGATGATGTTGAGAAACTATACTTATCACTGTCAACTTCTATGCAATCTTTGTTTCCTGACATAAACGATTTATGAATTACGCATTTTGAATTATGTTGTTACTATTGCCTTACGCCACTTAAAATTATTAAATATCATAAAAGGAAACACAATTTAATTACAGACAGTTTATATCCTTGGTCGGATTTATCTGCACAATTAGAATACTGTACCCATAAATAAACCTATTCGAAGGGACAGTTCCCACAGTACCTAAGATCTAGATTACCGCAGTCAAGACGTTTATACATCTTAAGTGCTAAAACACTCGAATTTCAATATAAGACCTAGGGTTTTTAAACTTTAGGTTGAATTTAGTGCTGTTTGAGGCTTGACACTTGAAGAATGCCCCGATGCTCTACTTTCCATAGTCCATGAGCCAATCCTGAGATGGAGACTACTGTAGAGAATTGAAAGATATAAGATATATATGTACTATTCATTTAGATAATACCTATTAGTAATAATAGGTAGTAGGAATACATTTAAGGTTGCATTTGTAAGATTTTTTGCAAATGTGGCGGTGAGTACAACTTATTAGCATAGCCTAGATAAAGCCACTTGTGATCATACGTTAAAAGCTATTATCACTATTTTATTCTTTTTTTTAAAGTAAGTGCGCATTTGATCTCCATCTCTCCTAATGGAAGTGACGATGAGGTCGCCGATGTAGCATGCACACCTAAATAATGCCTATTCACTCTCGCTTTGAAAAGGTCCAAGTTATAACGTTCAGGGAACAAGTCTGCGGGCAAGGAAATCCATCCGTAGCCGTTCGCCATATAAATGTGCGAATCCTCGGAATAACCACAACATAGGAGTGGAACCCAGCCTACGCCTAGTCCCCCGATGATGAGAAGGGGATCGCGGAATCAAAGTATGCAATTCCATCGCACACTCTCCGTGATATATCCTGTAAAATACTGATAAGCAGTCAACTTTACGGCGGTGCTCAAGGCTATGCAGCTTCGCCTCTTCTAATTCCGATTTATCGCTTTTACCACATGAAAGTTATAAAGCTAATACGAACTAGATAAAACAAATTATGTATATGTGTGGAACTTCAAAACTCTCATATTTAAGCTTAAAAAAATATCGACTTATTTTTTCGTAGTCTTTAAGCCTCTCTCCTAAGAAGTTATTATTATGCTGTTATGACCTTATTGCAACAAGGATGCATATCTTTTTTTAACAAATATATGGATACGAACAATATGATTAACATATAATAAACATTCGGCTACGTCATAACTTGAAACACTTGGTCATATTTATGACCAAGGTTCCTATCGACAATATAACCAAATTAGCGTTTGGATCAACTTTTTACTGTCATGAAGTTCAAGTTTAAAATCGAATCTATAAATCTTACTGGTTGAGGAAGTCCCGGGTTCGATTCCTGGTAGGACCAATTTGAACATTTCTGACTTTTTTTATGATATTAAGTGACGGGACGAACAAGTCGTGCGCCTGATGGTAAGCGACACGCTTGTTCATAACAGCTTCAGTGCCACCCAGAGCTTTAAATCATAAAGATTTAAAGGGGACCAAGAGACATAAGTTCATAACTCCCAAGTGCTTGTAATTTCAGCACCTTTACCCTTCATAACCGACACGCAGTAAGAGTCAAATTACCGCTTGGCGGCAGAAATAGGTAAGGAGGCAGTATTTCCCTGGACGATCTCTTTAACAAGGAGCTCAACTGCTGCTCATTGGTGGA